GGCTCTACCTGGAGCTCCCCCTCAATGAGGGATCACTGCTCCGCTACCACTTGAAGAGGGGCCCTAGCGTCTACTTCAAGATCAGCTAAGGCGTCTTCCCCAATGACAGCACTCTTTTACTCTCAGCCTGTTGCCGGTCAGTGCTTGTCTACAGGGTTACTCTATATACCTCTTGAGCCTTGAAGGGGCGCATATAAATGTGCTCAATACTCATGCATGTACCTATGTAGGTATTAGGTCGAAACAAAAACATGGGGGGGGGGGGTTACTAAAATGACTAGCAATCTCCTGAAGAATCAGGTAACGGGGCTGGCCGCCCTCCCCTTTACTTCGTAAAGTAAAACTCAAGGTAGCCCCTCTGGAGCTACCTTTCGTGATCTGTCCATCTTTCTATCTGTTCTGTCCATCTTTCTATCTGTCCATCTTTCTATCTGTCCATCTGTCCATCTTTCTATCTGTCCATCTGTCCATCTTTCTATCTGTCCATCTGTCCATCTGTCCATCTTTCCATCTGTCCATCTTTCTATCTGTCCATCTGTCCATCTGTCTATCTGTCCATCTTTCTATCTGTCCATCTGTCCATCTTTCTATCTGTCCATCTGTCTATCTGTCCATCTGTCTATCTGTCCATTTTTCTATCTGTCCATCTGTCTATCTGTCCATCTGTCTATCTTTCTATCTGTCTACCTGTCCACCTGTCCATCTTTCTATCTGTCCATCTGTCCATCTTTCTATCTGTCCATCTGTCCATCTGTCCATCTTTCTATCTGTCCATCTGTCCATCTTTCTATCTGGCCACCTGTCCATCTTTTTATCTGTCCATCTGTCCATCTTTCTATCTGTCCATCTTTCTATCTGTCCATCTTTCTATCTGTCCATCTGTCCATCTTTCCATCTGTCTATCTGTCCATCTGTCCATCTTTCTATCTGTCCATCTTTCTATCTGTCCATCTGTCCATCTTTCTATCTGTCTATCTGTCCATCTGTCCATCTTTCTATCTGTCCATCTGTCTATCTGTCCATCTGTCCATCTTTCTATCTGTCTATCTGTCCATCTTTCTATCTGTCCATCTTTCTATCTGTCCACCTGTCCATCTTTTTATCTGTCCATCTGTCCATCTTTCTATCTGTCCATCTGTCCATCTTTCTATCTGTCCATCTTTCTATCTGTCTACCTGTCCACCTGTCCATCTTTCTATCTGTCCATCTGTCCATCTTTCTATCTGTCCATCTGTCCATCTTTCTATCTGTCCATCTGTCCATCTTTCTATCTGTCCACCTGTCCATCTTTTTATCTGTCCATCTGTCCATCTTTCTATCTGTCCATCTGTCTATCTGTGCATCTGTCCATCTTTCTATCTGTCCATCTTTTTACCTGTCCATCTGTCCAACTGTCTATCTGTCCATCTGTCCATCATTCTATCTGTCCATCTGTCAATCTTTCTATCTGTCCATCTGTCCATCTGTCCATCTTTCTATCTGTCCATCTTTCTATCTGTCCATCTGTCTATCTGTCCATCTGTCCATCATTCTATCTGTCCACCTGTCTATCTGTCCATCTTTCCATCTGTCTATCTGTCCATCTGTCTATCTTTCTATCTGTCTATCTGTTCACCTGTCCATCTTTTTATCTGTCCATCTGTCTATCTGTCCATCTGTCTATCTGTCCATCTGTCCATCTTTCTATCTGTCCATCTGTCTATCTGTCCATCTGTCCATCTTTCTATCTGTCCATCTGTCCATCTTTTTATCTGTCCATCTGTCCATCTTTCTATCTGTCCATCTGTCTATCTGTGCATCTGTCTATCTGTGCATCTGTCCATCTTTCTATCTGTCCATCTGTCCATCTTTCTATCTGTCCATCTGTCCATCATTCTATCTGTCCATCTGTCCATCGTTCTATCTGTCCATCTGTCTATCTGTCCATCTGTCTATCTGTCCATCGTCCACCTGTCTATCTGTCCATCTGTCTATCTTTCTATCTGTCTACCTGTCCACCTGTCCATCTTTCTATCTGTCCATCTGTCCATCTTTCTATCTGTCCATCTGTCCATCTTTCTATCTGTCCATCTTTCCATCTGTCTATCTGTCCATCTGTCTATCTTTCTATCTGTCTATCTGTTCACCTGTCCATCTTTTTATCTGTCCATCTGTCTATCTGTCCATCTGTCTATCTGTCCACCTGTCCATCTTTTTACCTGTCCATCTGTCCATCTTTCTATCTGTCCATCTGTCTATCTGTCCATCTGTCCATCTTTCTATCTGTCCACCTGTCTATCTGTCCATCTTTCCATCTGTCTATCTGTCCATCTGTCTATCTTTCTATCTGTCTATCTGTTCACCTGTCCATCTTTTTATCTGTCCATCTGTCCATCTTTCTATCTGTCCATCTGTCCATCTTTCTATCTGTCCATCTGTCCATCTTTCTATCTGTCCATCTTTCTATCTGTCCATCTGTCTATCTGTCCACCTGTCCATCTTTCTATCTGTCCATCTGTCTATCTGTCCATCTGTCCATCTTTCTATCTGTCCATCGTTCTATCTGTCCATCTGTCCATCTGTCCATCTGTCTATCTGTCCATCTTTCTATCTGTCCATCTGTCAATCTTTCTATCTGTCCATCTTTCTATCTGTCCCTCTGTCTATCTGTCCATCTGTCTATCTGTCTATCTGTCCATCTTTCAATCTGTCCATCTTTCTATCTGTCCATCTTTCTATCTGTCCATCTTTCTATCTGTCCATCTGTCTATCTTTCTATCTGTCCATCTTTCTATCTGTCCATCTGTCTATCTGTCCATCTGTCTATCTGTCCATCTGTCTATCTGTCTATCTGTCCATCTGTCCATCTGTCCATCTTTCTATCTGTCCATCAGTCCATCTGTCCATCTTTCTATCTGTCCATCTTTCTATCTGTCCATCTGTCCATCTTTCTATCTGTCCATCTGTCTATCTGTCCATCTGTCCATCTTTCTATCTGTCCATCTGTCTATCTGTCCATCTGTCCATCTTTCTATCTGTCTATCTGTCCATCTGTCCATCTTTCTATCTGACCATCCGTCTATCTGTCCATGTGTCCATCTTTATATCTGTCCATCTGTCTATCTGTCCATCTGTCCATTTTTCTATCTGTCCATCTGTCTATCTGTCCATCTGTCCATCTTTCTATCTGTCCATCTGTCTATCTGTCCATCTGTCCATCTGTCCATCATTCTATCTGTCCATCTGTCCATCGTTCTATCTGTCCATCTGTCTATCTGTCCATCTTTCTATCTGTCCATCGTCCACCTGTCTATCTGTCCATCTTTCTATCTGCCCATCTGTCTATCTGTCCATCTGTCCATCTTTCTATCTGTCCATCTGTCCATCTTTCTATCTGTCCATCTGTCCATCTTTCTATCCGTCTATCTGTCCATCTTTCCATCTTTCTATCTGTCCATCTTTCTATCTGTCCATCTGTCCATCTTTCTATCTGTCCATCTGTCCATCATTCTATCTGTCCATCTGTCCATCGTTCTATCTGTCCATCTTTCTATCTGTCCATCTTTCTATCTGTCCATCGTCCACCTGTCTATCTGTCCATCTTTCTATCTGCCCATCTGTCTATCTGTCCATCTGTCCATCTTTCTATCTGTCCATCTGTCCATCTTTCTATCTGTCCATCTGTCCATCTTTCTATCTGTCCATCTCTCTATCTGTCCATCTGTCCATCTTTCTATCTGTCCATCTGTCCATCTTTTTATCTGTCCATCTGTCCATCTTTCTATCTGTCCATCTGTCCATCTTTTTATCTGTCCATCTGTCCATCTTTCTATCTGTCCATCTGTCTATCTGTCCACCTGTCCATCTTTCTATCTGTCAATCTGTCTCTGTCCATCTGTCCATCGTTCTATCCGTCCATCTGTCCATCTTTCTATCCGTCTATCTGTCCATCTTTCCATCTTTCTATCTGTCCATCTTTCTATCTGTCCATCTTTCTATCTGTCCATCTGTCCATCTTTCTATCTGTCCATCTGTCTATCTGTCCATCTTTCTATCTGTCCATCAGTCCATCTGTCCATCTTTCTATCTGTCCATCTGTCTATCTGTCCATCTTTCTATCTGTCCATCTGTCTATCTGTCCATCTGTCTATCTGTCCATCTGTCCATCTTTCTATCTGTCCTTCTGTTCATCTTTCTATCTGTCCACCTGTCCATCTTTTTATCTGTCCATCTGTCCATCTTTCTATCTGTCCATCTGTCCATCCTTTTATCTGTCCATCTGTCCATCTTTCTATCTGTCCATCTGTCTATCTGTCCATCTGTCCATCTTTCTATCTGTCCTTCTGTTCATCTTTCTATCTGTCCACCTGTCCAATTTTTTATCTGTCCATCTGTCCATCTTTCTATCTGTCCATCTGTCCATCCTTTTATCTGTCCATCTGTCCATCTTTCTATCTGTCCATCTGTCTATCTGTCCATCTGTCCATCTTTCTATCTGTCCATCTTTCTGTCCATCTGTCCATCTTTCTATCTGTCCATCTGTCCATCTTTCTATCTGTCCATCTGTCCATCTTTCTATCTGTCCATCTGTCCATCTTTCTATCTGTCTATCTGTCCATCTTTTCTATCTGTCCATCTGTCCATCTGTCCATCTTTTCTATCCGTCCATCTGTCCATCTGTCTGTCCTTCCCTCTCTCCATCTGTCTATCTATGTGTATATTTTTATCTGTCTATCTTATCTTATCATCTTATCTTAAGTCTTAACTGATCTTACATCAACTGATTTTATCTTACCTATCTATCTATTTATCTACCTACAGTATGGATATTGTAGATAGATACGTATTATGTATAATATACACATACAATCACATATATATATATTATATATATTACAGTATATACAGCATTCAAAAAGGGAAAGGCGCATTACAATGCATGGTAATGCATGGGGCTGCTGCAGACCAAACGGAGCGTTCTCAAAACATGGAAGGCTTTGCAGTACAACAGGAGCATCTTTGTGTCGTTTTCGTGCTTTTGTACAAAGTTCACTTTCAGTGCTACTTCCGAGAGCTTCAAAGCTTTGTTTTACAAAGCTATGACAATGACTCTGACCATGTGATGTACACAGCTGAGAAAAGAGATATGAAGGGAAAAGAGTTATAATTTGCATCGCTCACTCAGGCGGGAATACCATCCTTCACTCTCTGTGTGATCTCCTCGAGACTTGCCGTCAGGAAGGCCACAGTGAAGGTACAGTGAAGATACCAAGCCATGTCAATCGATCAATCAGTGAAGGTACAGATAGGTACAGTGTCACGGTGTCACGACTTGCGTCACCATGCCACACCATGTCACATCTGCACTTCTCACAGCTCCTCCATGAACTCATCCAAGTCCTCAGGACTTCACAGAGGTGAATGACATATCCTTAAAATTAATTCATTAGTTCATACAATATACAGTACATGTAATCAATATATATATAATATATATGTACGTATATTATATAATATTATGCCTAACTTATTCCACATCCTTAGTTTCAGAAGTCAACTCGTCGTAACCCGTGCCCAGCAAGTCACAGAGCCTGCCCAAGTTGGAGTACCAGAAATAAAGGCTCAATTCAGGCGAAGCAGCAATGACTCCGTCATTCTTGGTGTCAATCTCCTTTGCTCAGAGCCCCGTCAGAATGAATACTCTCAAACCATGAAGATCTGGGACACATTGACAAGACTTGATAAGTCTGTCAGACTGTCAAACTGGATTGACAAATGCTCCAAATTGCTTTGTGATTCCTAGTGTGGCGACCTCTTTTTCATCATGTCATCCTTTCATCAAAGAAAAGGCTGTTCGTCCAGTGATTTGTCTAGGCTCCTTGAAGGTCTCGTCCAAGTCTGAATGCTCATTGGCTGGTGGTTGATTAATTGCCTCAAAATCTGAGCCCCATTCCAGTCCACATAGTCAGATATGCTCAGTACATTCTAGTACTTGCTACCCCTAGACATGTTGGGAAAGTTGCTAAGAATGGATAAGAGATAAGAGAGTTCTGGGGATCCTGACCTTCAACAACAGCAGTAGTTGCTGTTTGTCGATATTCCTCTGGTTTTGACCTTTCAGGCTGAAATGCTCTTGCTTTGCTCTGGGACTCTACGAAGATTGCAAAACAATGGAAATGATGGAAGACAATGGAAATAGCAAGCGAGGCGCAGTACTGATACCATACCATTCGGAGCACAGCCCTCTCCCCAACATCCGGTCCTCAGCATACTTGGCACGGTGGCAGTCAATGTTGTGGCTGCAAATCATTCAGCATTTCAGTCTTTGTTAGGTGTATTTACCATTCTGCACGGACAAACATCAAGGATATTCTAGAAATGTATTGTAAGTATCAGTAAGTTAGTTATATAACTGTATAATATGTGTATATATATATAAAGACTCAGTACGGCCGCTGACATTTTTTAGCTCTGCAAGACCGAGGTTTTCAAGTTAAAAGGAATTCAGAACGAAATTCAATATTCAAAACAACTTGAATTTCCCCATTAAGCACCAGAAAAAAGCTTAACACCCCCAGGGGAGTCGGCCAAGCCCGAACACCCTGGCCAAAGTGTTTTAAAGGGTTCTTCAGGTCCGGCCAAGCCCAAGACTCTGAAGACCACACCCCAGCTGGCACACCCAGTGCCCTTTTTTCGAGTTCTCTTTTGCTGCTTCTTCCGGGCTTCAGGGGAGGGACATAGGGACGGGGCGCTGAAGCCAAAACTGATGAAAAATTACGCTCAACCTACTTTCGTCTTTATCTACGGGGCCGTTTCCCCAAAGACTCAGTACGGCCGCTGACATTTTTTAGCTCTGCAAGACCGAGGTTTTCAAGTTAAAAGGAATTCAGAACGAAATTCAATATTCAAAACAACTTGAATTTCCCCATTAAGCACCAGAAAAAAGCTTAACACCCCCAGGGGAGTCGGCCAAGCCCGAACACCCTGGCCAAAGTGTTTTAAAGGGTTCTTCAGGTCCGGCCAAACCCAAGACTCTGAAGACCACACCCCAGCTGGCACACCCAGTGCCCTTTTTTCGAGTTCTCTTTTGCTGCAAGCTTAACACCCCCAGGGGAGTCGGCCAAGCCCGAACACCCTGGCCAAAGTGTTTTAAAGGGTTCTTCAGGTCCGGCCAAACCCAAGACTCTGAAGACCACACCCCAGCTGGCACACCCAGTGCCCTTTTTTCGAGTTCTCTTTTGCTGCTTCTTCCAAGTTGCCCTGCCCTGCGCCGACTTAGGTGCAAGGTCAAGTTTTGGCAAAGACAGAGCGAGACTTTTGAGGTACTGAGTTCGCAAATTTCGCGTAAACGGGGTATACGGAATACGAATACGAGTTGAAACAGACAACCCTTCATTGACATAAATACGGGCTGTCTTGGCAGATTGCCATCGTCCCAACACTAGCAGTTTGTCAAACGAGCTTTGGACAGTAAAAAAGTGAGTAGCTCCACCTCTTCTCAGCGAGTAAGGGCGGTAATCGACTGCCGAAAGTCCGACCGCATTCAATGTGTCATTGAAAAGTTTTCGCCAAGCATATGGAGATGGTGTCAGCGATACTCGTGACGCTACAGTACCTTTCCACTGATAAAGTCTTCGGCACACATCCTCGACATGAATCGTGACAGACTCTGCAGCTCCTTGGCGTTTACCTGCTTTGGTAAGCCCGAGGGAAATTACTGCTGGACCCTGAGGGCTAGCAATGGATACTTGGTTGGCTGTGATAGACAGCAACTCTCCAGTACGTAGCAAGCCAAAAAAACCCACCAAGAGACTCAAGGCAAATTGTGGGCGTTGTTTGAACAAGGAATACCCAACCATGATTTCCAGGCACTCAAGCGATAGCGGCGGTGCGCGATTAGGAATTTCGTGAACCACCCACGCCTTCAGGAGGCGCCAACTTTGCAACAGTTTTCCCTTCAAATGAGGTTGGGTATCCTGTAATGCTGCTAGGATATTAGATCCCTCGGTGCGACCAGCTCCCTGAGCCCATAGGAACTCCAAGTAGTCGGCAACCACCAAGTCCAAGTCTTTGGCTTTGCTGGGGAGGGGTTGTTTGATGTCCTTCAAATATTCAAAAAATTCATCTAAGGCCTGATTATACCGAGCACGCGTGACGGGCTGTACAGTGAGTTGACGTAACGTACCTAGTTGCTTCCTCATTTTTGCTCTTGCTTTTGGGGTCGGGGCCTCTAAATGCCGTTTAGGCATGTCCCCATTTGCGCTTCCGGGGATGCCGTGACGGGGCATCCGCCGGATTCTGTTTGGTGTGGACATAAGCCCACAAGGCTTGAGTTTTTGACACCAAAAGCAAGGCATTGGTGCGAAGCAACGTACGTTTCAACTTCTGACTACTAGATCTACCCCTACTTAACGCGTGCAAACAGACCAATGAATCAACTAAGTGCACAAATTTGGTTCTAAGTCGCCGTTGGCGCTCTATTCTCCATCTCAACGATGTGAGCACTGCTCGGAGCTCTAGAACGTTAATGTGCTCCCTCTTCCCCAGCCAGCGCCAGCTGGCCACAGTCTTCCATTTCCAGAGTCGGGCCGGGATGCTGGCGCGTAGCCTCTGGTACTTCACTGGCTCGTCCGAGGAAGTCTGCAACATCAAATCTTCCCCTTTGAGGCTCCCCATAGTCAGGAGTTTCTTCACCAGCACTTCTTCACATTGCGGACTCGGATTGGGACTTTGCGTCTTCTGCATAGCTGGCCGCTGGAGGAAGGTCAAAAAATCCTTCGTGCAGCCAGGTGATGTCCGCTGAACTACCTCTTGAACTGCCATGGGATCATTCAGCCCCAATAGCTGTCCTAACTGGCTCATCAGCCATGCCACAACAGGAACGCTCCAAGAGTTGCCTACCAAAGTCAATCGCTCATCGATGTAGGCCTGACCCACTTGTCGTGACTTGGGCAGACACTGGGAGGTGTAGTCACACGGAAAACCCATGATTACCTCTCTTTCGGAGATATCAAGGATACGCTTGATCCCAGCTTTGTTTTGTACAGCGAATTGATCTCTGTACTGATATGGAGGGAAGCGATAAGCATCATCTTTCCAGCGGCTCAGTTCGCTTGGCGTGCACTGTTTGACCCCAGCTGGCTTGTAGCCGGGCTGAGTGCGGGGACGGGAGGTTGTAAAGGTTGGAAACTTTTCCTCACTACATTTAGTCCAACCGGGCCGCAAATAACTCTTCGCGGTTACATTTGCCGTCAGGACGACTTCTGCCCGGCCTTGGTCATTCCAACACCAGGAGACGCCGTCACCCCCTGATAGCTCCCAATCGACCCAGTACAGCCGAGGCCTTCTGGCCAAGGACAAATGAACTGCATCAATGCTCCAGGGTTCCTCCCCGAAACTTTCCGTCATCACTTGCTCATCCTCAGCACTCATTGATGCCACAGATTCCATTAAGCTTCTAACTTGCGCCCATGGAAAACACTGTTGGAGGAGCTCTCTAATTCTGGCCACATGGACAAAAAGACTACTTCGAGCGTCCCTCAATGCCCCCTTTTTTGAGGCGTTCAAACCGCTGACGCCTTGACACGGTGGTCCTGCCCCCAACAGGACCAGCCCGACCTGAGGGAACCTTTGAGCCCAGCCTTTGACCATTTCCAAGTCCACAGACTGAACGTCACCTACAGCCACCGTGGACGGGAACCTGGACTCAACCACCCTCTGCGCCGACGCAGACACCTCCACACTGACATGCCCATGAACACTCCAACCTAGCGCATCTGCTGCAACTCTCAAAGCCCCAATCCCATCGAAGAGCCCGACCGTCAAGACTCCGACGACGTCCCACGGCTCAACCAAGTCACCTCGGACAGGGCACGTGGCAGCAACACACCCGGCGGGAGTTACACCAGTACTCACCGTCACTCCCCCTCCCGTCTCTGAAGCATCGCTTGCAGTGACATACTTGGAGACTTCGCCTCTAAAATCCATGTATGCTAACGGGAGAAGCCCTATAAACCTCCCGATTTCTTCTTTGACGAGTCCAGGAATGGGCAACTGAACAAAAGGGGGATAACCTTCAAAACTTGTGATAAACTGCCACAATGCATTCAAGCACCCCAACAGTGGTCTTCGAAACATGCAAAAGTAAACAAAGCCTCCCCCGACCACTTGCACCTGCTTTTGGGTGCAACGGTGAGATTTTAGCAGATGGAGCCCCAACTGGGCATATTTCAAAAGTTTTTCGGGCTTGGGGTAAGCCAAGCCAGCTTCACCATCTACTACTGCGCCCTGCACTTCCGCTTTGCGTTGCGAAACAACACCCTTCTTGGGATGTCTAGGCACCCCCAATGCCAGGTACTCCTCCCTCAATCCGGTCACTAGGGGAGACACTTTGCCTTGGATGGCATCAGCCACCTTTTTTGAAGTTTTACACAATTCATCAAAATTGTCAAGGTAAATTCGAAAACAAGGGTTGCTGGTGGTAAAGGTCCTGTCTTTTCTCAACTCTGCTTCGGCCTTGAACGGCACCCGCCTTAATGCCCTACCAACAATACACCTATGTACATGTTGGGCCAAGGCAACAGAGTTCTTAAATCCCATTGGCAAGACTACACTACATGGAAACCACCTCCCTGGCTTGGGACCACACAAGCTGGGAGGAAGCTCCCGATTGAACGCCATGTAGCGATGCCATGACGGCGGGATTTTAAATATATAGAAAAAACACCGCACATCTTCGCTGGAAATGACTAGGTCCTCCTCTGGCATAAGGCTCAGAGGGGTCATTCCAGCCCAAGACGGCAGGGTGGACACGTCACCATCCATGCCCCGGCAAATCAGGTTTACCGGTACCAAGTTCATAATGACCCTCATGCTTTCCCATGGGCCATCAAATTCCTGTTTTGATACTCCAAATAACCCATTCAGAATGGGTTTCCCCTCCACCATATGGAGGTCATCTTCATGTACTTTTCCAAAAACCCCTTTCTCCATCATGTTCTGGCAAAAGGTCTCCCAGTGCTCGGGTGGCACCATCACCCGTGGTGGTCGGGAGTAAACTTGCTGCTCCTTGGGCAGGAGATAGTTCTCAAAGTGAAGGACGTAATGGCGCGAGCCACGTTCAACGACATCTTCCAAGTTTACCCCTCCCACTTCGTCCGGGAGTGCCCCTCTCACGTTTTCCCACTGCATACTTTGGGCCGTGAGAATTTCTTCTCCTCTGTAGTCCACTCCCCGACACCTAAAGAAGTCTCCCCAACTGACGGGAGAAGTCGTTTCGGGAGATTCAAATAGCCTTTTGCAATCGACCATTAGTGATCTCAAAATTTCCTTTTGGAACTCAGTTGGGGGGCAATTCTCATTAAAACTACCTTCTCCATTTAACGAATTCAGTGAAACACAAACAGTCCTAAGCGTGAGCACAAGGTCATGGGGGTCATCAACAAAAACCTGGCCTAGGTATAAGGAGGACGTGGGTAGGGGAAAAATCCTACCCGTGGGCTTGGTCTTACAGAGCCTAGGTGAAAAAACGTCCAGCTTACCATTTAGCCAGGTTAAAACATCTCTCATCCTGACCCCCCCTGGCTCACCCACACCATCGCACTTTTTTGCACTCACTCGGCCCAAGCCTGAGCTAGCGTCGTTCTCAGCCAGACCAACACTAGGTGTGTCAGCCTCTGTACCAAAGGTTGTGCCAGGAAGGGTGGCAGCCCTTCCTTCGTAGTGGTGAAACTCAGCGGAGTTGTCATTCCCGCTGCTCTTCTCATCCTGCCCAATCGCCTTTGTTCCTTCCGTAGTTGCCCCAAACTCAGGTCCCTCTCCTCTCCTAGCTAGCCTCTGCTCCCTCTGAGTCAGGAGCTCTTTTTCCCTTCGTCCTTCTGCTTGCCCGATCCTTTGCCTTTCTCTTTTCCCTTCTCGCGCTCCTTCGTCTTGGTCTTCCCCTTGCCTTTCTCCCACTGGGAACCCGTCCCTTTGATCCGGGAGTCCAGGTTTGCCTCCTTTTGAGCAAGTTGTAGCTCGGCCCTCGATGACATCGTTGCCTCCATCGGGGGAACTACTTCTACTCGTTGAGCTGTGCTCCAGTGTTGTCCTCCCATCATGAGCTCTAAGCTTTTGAGCCGCTGCCCCAGCGCATCCAGCGCTTCCGCTGGCCGCGCCATCAAAAGTAGGTCTCCGATGTGGGCCAGTGTGTAGGCCTCCCGGAGGAGTCCTCCACTTGATCTCGGAGATAGGTAGCACCGAGCATATTGGCTCATGATAGGAGGTAGGGAGTCCATATCGAGGTCCCATGTTCCGCCCGTCGTCTGCACCACGAACGGCTTCATATTCCGAATCACCGCTGCGGCCAATAGACCTGGTCCGTGATCTGCCAGCTTTTGGATCTTGCTCCGATCCTCCAGGAGTTCGTCGTCCTCTTTGCCTTCGCTGGTGCCGCTTGAAGTCGAAGAGGACGTTGAAGTGGACCCTTTCCCTCTCTTCAGGCGTTTCCTCATCTGCCGTTGTAACTTGCGCCTGACTTTCGGGTCGGGATCCAGGCCCGTACCACTGTACAGATCCACTAGCTTCTTCTTTGCCACCGTCTTTCCGCCAATCCGGCCTTGCTGTGCCTTCTTGCGTGCCTTCTTGCGTGCCTTCTTCTCCTTGCTGCGCTTCTTCTTCTTTTTCTTTGACGATGCGCGGGAGTGAGATGAATCTCTGTGGTCTCCCTCTGCTGCCTTCTGCTGGGCCACCCATTCTTCTTGGCGTCTACGCAACTCCGGGTTCTCGTCTGTATCCTTCAAATTCTCCTCCCACTTGCGTTCACCGGGAGGGGGAACCTTCTTGAATGAAATCAAATGGATCAAATCCTGGTTTGACCTCTTCTGGTCACAGGTGGGCCCACACACGTGGACTCGGAACACCGGTGGCTGGAGGCCAGTTGCCACTCTCAAGACCTCCTCAGTGGATGTTCCAGTCAGGAGCGTAGAAAACTCCACCTGATCTCTGTCCAAAATCACTCGCTGAATGTGTCCAGCAATCTCGCACTCCTTCTCGAAGTAGACCGCGTGGACCGACTTGAACCAATCTCCACTCCCCACTAACCCGGGAGAATACTCCTTGCTCTTCACTTCCTCCCCTTGTTCCCACCTCTCTTGTGGGGATTTGTGGCCAGCTCCCACTGCTGCCGCTGGTCTCCTGAGTCCTGCCTTTGCTGCAGGCCTCCTCAATCCTCCCCTTCTCATCTAGAGCCCTGGTAGTGCTCCCTTATCGCCTTCCTCGTAGGGTCTGGTCCGTAGTCCCGTATATCTTGAGCTCTTTCCCGGCGCTTCACCCCTTTGGTGGTCCACTGACGCCGACCTCCCCAAGGTCTTGGATAGAATCGCCCGGGAGGGGGTTCTAACTGACGAGGAGGCGGGGCCCCTGCTGGCTCAGGTGGCCGTTGACTGCCGCGGGAGACTCTTTCTACGGGAGGCTCTCTCTCCCAACGCTCTCTTTCTCTCAGCCTAGGGCTACGGGAGTCTTTCTCCCTCTGGCATCTCTCCTCACGGGAGTTATGTCTCCCACGTCGACTGGCTGACCTTCTCTTGGAGCGACTCCTTCGACGCCGTTCACTCCTCCTTGGCGGTGACCTCTCCCTAGCAGGGCTCTCTGGCAACTCTTTCTGCTCCCTCCGAGTAGCGGGAGAAGGACTCTTGTTTCCTTTGTGACTACTAGCTCCCTCTGAGCTACGGGAGTAGTCAGGTGGGGTGTCAAAGGCCTCAGTGGCGGCGGCCTGCACTGGTTTGGCCTTCTTGTCCTTGGCTTTTTTGTCCTTCTTTGATTTTTTCTTTTTCTCGGGACTAGTTTTCACTTCAACAGGGCTAGCTATCTCTTCTTTCACAGGGGTCTCAGTCTCGGGAGGAATTCCAGGCACTCCCAGGAAAGGTGGTGGCGATGCAGGAGGGACCTTGCTAGTGGCTTGGGCTGGACCAATAGCAGTAGCCGGACCAGTTGCTGCCTGCCCAGGTGTCAACCCTGGGGCTACCCCGCCTGGTCCTTGCGCAGGGGTTTGCACAGAAGCCGCAGGGACTCCCACTGGTAGCACGGGAGGGCCTCCTGCCAAAGGTCCCCCCACGCCAAGCACCAGCCCGTCGCTGGCGTCCAGGAGCTCAGTGAATAGCTCCCTCACTCGCCGCAGGGCGTATTCCCGAAAGGGAACAGTGGCCTCAGGCCTAACGAGCAGGAGTCCAACACGCCTCCAGGTATGGCACACAGCACAAGTGCACGATACGAGGGGATGGTCACTGCTCATCAGAGCGCTGAAGCCAAAACTGATGAAAAATTACGCTCAACCTACTTTCGTCTTTATCTACGGGGCCGTTTCCCCATATGATATGTATATATAATTATATATATATAGTTATGTGTATTATATGAGTAGCGGACAAAACTACATGTTAAATTTAATGCCATGCACAAATTAGGGCGAATTAGGGTCGTCTCCCATTGGTTGTGAGGATTTCAATATTCCCGGAGGTAATTATCACAAATGGGGTATCGGTATAGGGTCGTCACCGTCCCCTATTATATAATTATGTACATTAAAGGGGAATGGAAAGTAAAACACTACGCTCAGGGTGTGCTCTTAGCAGGTGGCCATTGAACTTTCCTCCACGACTTCGAGCAAGCATTCCCCTTCGCAAGTTCACACTAGTTTTGATGCAACGTGCAGAGTGGCAATAGAATGACAACAGAATGGAATATGCCAATATGCTGTGATCCTTTCAACGCAAAAGGTGACCTGTAGATATCAGCGAAACGCTCTGGGCCTTCAAAGCTGTAATTTGCAAGAGGGGCTTGGACAAACGAAAACCTCTGCAAAAGTAATATATATATATAATAATGCGACAAAATGCAGCAAATGAAATATCTGCATGGATTTTCTCGAAAGAAATCAGTGGCAACCACTCACCTGAACAAGAGATCTTGTCGTTGACTCGCTGGGTCACCTCAATGCCGTGATAGCTTCTCCATGCTTCTCTCACATCTCAATGATCCAGTCTCCGCATCCACCCGGGACGAAACTTAGTGCCAAACCTCTGCAAGGAAATCATCCCAATCGATCTTGCCATTGCCTTTTCTCTCCCACTCCTGGTCAGAGACTTGAGGGGCACAGCATTATATAATATTATATAATTGCTTCTCAACGCGTTCTACACCGAAATTTACTGACTTGCTTCACTGCTTCGAAGGAGTGGTAGCCAGTGTGGATTTTGCCATTGGAGGAAAACTTGGGAGCTGATCTTGGAGTTCTTGCGATAGAGGTTGTTGCGGATCGTCGGAAATGCCCTTCGCTACTGTGGAGTTTTATGTTCCCTAGAGGCCAACAAGCGTAGCAATTTTTTGATTTGCAAAGCACCGCCTGAAACCTCAACTCTAATTTTGGAAACGTTGCCTTTTCTGATGTCACTCCAATATCTTTGATTCAAAACTACCAGTGGGCACTTTAGGCAAATTGCAAGCGTCCTTGAAGGTTGCGTCCAGGTCTTCATCTTCATTGTCCTGAGAATTTCCACCACAAGTTTCACAAGTAGAATCTTGGATGAAACCGCCCTTTAAGCAAAAACAGAAAGGGCGAAAACGGATCCAGTATGATCAAGTTATCAGCGATCGTGCACACTGAGTGGGCCAAGGTTCTGGGGGCTGGTAAATGGCAAGCAACAAATCCAGCAACTGGGACTTTGAAATCTTGCCTCATGGGCATCTTGATGCGATGTGGCTTTGCGAAGCTGATTCTGGGTATTCAAATGCATGTGTTTTTCTCTCGTATTCTATTCATGATTTCATAATGTTGCAAGGTTCAATAATGAGTAACAATGTGGAATCAATCCCTCGCGCCTTTGTTCGGCATGGAATACCTCACAGGCAAGTCCGTGTCAAAACGGTTGAGGGACAGCAAAACAAAGCAGGACTGCAAATTCCATCTTAAAAACTCAGTGCGAGTGAACTTGCAAGCTCTCACGTCATACATGTAAGACTAATGTAAGATGTGTCTATGACGCATACATTTCTTGCAAAAAGTCTTTATTGGCACAGTGGTCAAGTTGCACTTGCCACATCGACTGCAAGACTTCAGTCTCCTGGAGGCGTTGTGCAGCACATGTGCTCACATACAAAATATATCAAAATAATACAAAATAATTCAAAATATCAAGAAACATCGCATGAATCATTGAATCATTGAATCGCTTTTCGCGTTACCTTCGTTACCTCGGTCCTCTTTGGTTGGACCTTTGAACCGTCCAGCAATACTGCGATCCAACATGGCCTGGATACAAGGCTACCATAGGCTACCGATAGTTGCAATATGTTGCAATATGTTGCAATCACATTTGAATTATTTTGAATTTGCATATGAAGGCAACTTCAATGACCGACAAAGGCCAATAAGCCAATAAGGTTGCGGGATGTTGTGGGCATGTGTAGCTTCAGCTGCTTCAAAACTGCAAAACATTTTTTGGTATGCCTTGTAGACTGCAGCAAAGCGTTCGTGGAAGAAAATGCGCTCGTACTTGGCACGAGCAGAGAGATGCGGACAGGGCTCTTCTCCCATACAAATGACTGTCTTGAAGGCACTTTACAACAAGATGTAAACTTCAGAGCAAGCGACAGGAACGAAAGGGTTGTAGTTATGATAGTAGGTGATTGAAGGGAGAGCGTGGAGATGCGCGGAGTGGAGCCCATCAGCGATGACGATGATGATGATGATGATGATGATGATGATGGGAGGTAACAATGCGCATGTTCAGACCCGGAGATAAAACCGCAACCATTTTAGGGGGACCCTCCAAGTGACGAATCTTTTTTTGGACAGTAGTCGTTTCAAAAGTCAATTCTGTGCCCTTCTCCTCTGCCCCGTAAAAAAATATGCGAAAACTAATACAGAAAACTCAGGTCGGTAACGCTACCTTTTATATCCTTTCATGTATTGTTTGCATCTTTTTCTGATCTGTCTTGCAGGTTCTAAAGCGATACCTGTCTTGCATCAAGAATGGTTGTGGTTGCAGCTGAAGAAAAGTGTTACCGAGTGCAAAACAACCTTGCATGACCCGCCTTGACGATGTACTCAGGGTACACGTGGTCATCGTTGTACACTATGATTTCGCGGAAGGTCCGGTTCAATTTCAGCCTTGGGTGTCAGAAGAAGATATCTGCCCGAAACGTAACCATTGCATGAAATTGAACTTTGGATCAAACTGTGTCTACAGGTTCTCATGAAAATTGAGTCTGCACTGATTTGTACCTCTGCCGTAGCATACAGTACCAGCCTCGCCTGTCACCAAGCACGGAGTCATAGTCTCCCGAAAGACAGCTTTTTTGCAGCCTCCGCAGTATAGAATTCACAGAATAAAAGAACAGCACAGAGAAGTGGAATTGATCCATTGTCTTCGTTGCAGCACTTTCATGTCTTTGTTTCAAACTAGCCTGTCTGGATCTGGTCGCTGTTCGTCGTTGTAATTGACACGACCAAGCCTTCTGCTGCTGGTCTGGAACGTGACAAGAGAACGCTTTCTCTATGACACCGCATATACATCCCCAACAACAAAAAAAACTGTTACAAAAAGGTTGCCTCTGGAACCTACGAGCCACAGGATTTATACAAAAGATGGCACCAACTGCTTGTCTGTCTTTTGACGTCCCGATATGTCCCACTGTCTACCCCAGACAAGCATTTTGTAGGGTCAGAATGGTCGTCATGATTTGCCAACCCCGTCCAACGCTCAACTATTTTTTCCCAGGTCTTGAAAGTGAAAAGTGAAAGTGTGTCTTGCCTATATTGGTTGATGCCTTCCCATGCTTAGCATCACAATCCCTTTGTAACCAGTTGTAAAGAAGGGTTCCAATCTGTTTCGTGACCCCGGTATTTTCTGTCCAAAAGCGTGGGGTCCAAAAACCGCAGAAATATGGGGTCCAAGAACCCAGAGTTATGAATCCATATGAATCCACATGTGCTTCTGGGTCAATATTGGTTTTGGTATCTATTGGTCGTGTTCCCTAAAGAACCTTCTGTTCCCATTTGCAAAGCTGATATAAAATGATGACTGTGATTTATGCCACGGTCATGACTCTCTTTGAAGTTGGTGACACATTTCGGGTTTCCATTTCAGAACCGTTGCTGCTACCGCTACATTTTGTAAAACATGGGTTGTTTCTATTGAATCCAATGCTAGTGGAAAAAGAGTGATGGTTGGTGAAAGGAAATGGTTGTTTTAGAAACTATATGGGGTCATTTTTGGCGTTGACTATGAAGGAACATGTGGGAAAATGGCTTGGTGATATATCATGTACTATGTATCAACCAAGGAAAACATATTAAAAATGGATATTTGAGCAAAAAGGCCCTGTAGGTTGGCACAGCTTTTTGTAAAGAATGTGCTGGAGGTACATGATATCTCTACAGCAGTAAAATTGTAGTACATGGGGTATGTAAAAAGACAAATTGGTTATACAAACGTGCGCCCAAGTCTCCAACAAGTACTCAAAATTGCCTCCTTATTAAATGCAGGTTTGCAAGACCTATTTTTCTTATAAAAACATATATATAGTTTTTAGGGTTTATACGGGACTCAAGCTCTATCATTTTATAAGGGAAATTCCAACAGGGAGGCATATACAAATATTTTGCTTCTGAGATGCGTGGACCGACAAACCAGAATATAGGACCTGAGTGCGATGTGACTGCATCGCTTGCATCAATTGCCATGAGTGAAAGATTACACTACTCTTGCAGATCGAACAAATAGACACATATCCGACCAGCAACAGAGCAAATCCTCCAAGGGCGAAGTGCTTATCAATGTGGATAATACGTCTAAACATGTCTAAACCAATGTAAAGCAGTGACAACAAAAGCATACAAAAGCGCTACGACTCAGATTGATTGTCAATCATAGTTTAGCTGATGAGCACTCCATCCCATCCAAACATGCAAAAAAATAGGATCAACCCAGAAATCTTATGAAATCTTGCAGTATGATCCCGAGTTCTAAAATTAAAATATGTTTTCTGTTTGGAAGGATCATTCTGCCGTGAACACAATCTGAAGAGAAAGGATTGAATATGAAGACTTGCAGCGCAAATTTTCCCATTGTAGACTTTGCGCAAACGCGTCCGGTGTAAAAGGATGTTTGTGTAGAAGGCTTGTGGTAATTGACGTTATGTTGTAAACGCCTTCCCCTGTTTCAAGTCTGCATTCAATTTGTCTTGACAGACTTTTGACGAGGCCAAGAACCCACTGTTGAACCTATGATCTAGCCTTGAACCATCTTGAACCTGTACTAGTCATTACCAGTGGAACTTTGTGTCATGTGGATTCCTTTGGGACCATTCCATGCAGGAACTAATGCATTGAGCCCATCTTGAACTCTCTGTTCCATTTGGCGACCACTTCGCACCGCACCAAATTGTACCAAAGTCTTACACAGCTGATAACACCTTATTTTGTTCATGTTTCTTGTTCTGCTCTGAACCTTTTCATCCTTTTTCATCCTTGTTCATGCATTTTCATCCTTTTCCATCCTTGTTCATGCATTTTCATCCTTTTCCATCCTGCTTCATCCTTTTCCATCCTTTTTCATCCTTGTTCGTCCTTGTTCACCCTTGTTCATCCTTGTTCATCCTTTTTCATCCTGTTCATCCTTTTTTATCCTTTTTCATCCTTTTTCGTCCTTGTTCACCCTTGTTCATCCTTGTTCATCCTTTTTCACCCTTTTTCATCCTTTTTTATCCTTTTTCATCCTTGTTCGTCCTTGTTCATCCTTTTTCATCCGTTTTCATCCTTTTTTATCCTTGTTCATCCTTTTGCATCCTGTTGCATCCTTGTTCATCCTTTTTCATCCTTGTTCATCCTTTTGCATCCTTGTTCATCCTTTTTCACCCTTTTTCATCCTTTTTTATCCTTTTTCATCCTTGTTCGTCCTTGTTCATCCTTTTTCATCCGTTTTCATCCTTTTTTATCCTTGTTCATCCTTTTGCATCCTGTTGCATCCTTGTTCATCCTTTTTCATCCTTGTTCACCCTTGTTCATCCTTGTTCATCCTTTTTCACCCTTTTTCATCCTTTTTCATCCTTTTTCATCCTTTTCCATGCTTGTTCATCTTTGTTCATCCGTTTTCATCCTTTTTTATCCTTGTTCATCCTTTTGCATCCTGTTGCATCCTTGTTCATCCTTTTTCATCCTTGTTCATCCTTTTTCATCCTTGTTCATCCTTGTTCATCCTTTTTCATCCTTGTTCATCCTTTTTCCAGTTTTTGCCTGGATTGTCCTCGCGTACTTTGTTGATATCATTACTTCTACGGTCTTCTCCGACCTTCGCTCCATGACTATCATGACTCTCTGAGGCACTCACTCCCGAACCAGCGGCGGCGGAGGGCCTGGAGGCGGTCTTGGTGCCTCAATTGGATTCAATTGGCTCCAACAGAGCATCTACAAGATCTGCAAGACCCGCAAAACATGAAACAGAATTGGACACCAGTCTGAGATATCGCATGGATTCGAATGGTGATTGATGACAATGATGATGTTGCATACCAAACTGTATGAGTGCTGTATCTGTATATAACAGATCTAGATTTGTCCAAAACTTTCAGCGCCTCAAAACCCATCTCAGCTTCTTCGCCGGTGGAAGCTGGACCTTTAGGCCCTTCACCATATTCGTCTGACCTTCCAAATAATCCAAATTAATCCAAATGATGTGAAACGTTGTGACACGAAACTGTTTTGTATGATTGCAACATCGCTAGTCATCACTACCACTTTGAAACGTATCACTCATTCTAATCAGATCTACATGTACTGAGTGAGATCCGACGCTGTCAGAATTTTTCAGAATGTCAATTTTCTGGGCCACAGACTTCGTTGCATTTTCTGCAAGGTAGATGCCTCCAAAGCTGTCCAAAGCCAATCCATTGTCCAGATGTTTCTCCCACTTTAAGCATCTTGAAGGAACGTACGTACAGAAAATCCACAAATACGTGCTCTTGCAATGCATGCAAACATTAGATCGCATGCCATTTTGCTGGAGATGGCGTTGTTGTGATTCTCGGATTGCTTGAAAAAATGATCAACAAATAAATACAAATAATATGCAAACATCAAATTCTGAGACTGCAAGCAATGTTGGAAACGTCTGCTCCTCACCCCTGTGCCTTTGCCATACAATGTACCAGCGTTAGAGCCAGACATGTCCAATCCTCAAAATTCAAACATGCACAAACATTCAGACATTCTGCAATTTTCCTTCTCTTAACCCTTACGTATCACATCAGCACTCTTGCTAGCATGATCACAGAATGAAACAAGCCAACCAATAGCTGCTGCCCTTTCAATTATTCCCTCGCCATGAGTACATCCTGCAAAGAGTGATTTCAAAACAGACCAAAAGAAGCCGTGCAATTTCTACACTAGGCTTACTTCGTGAATAGTTTGCCAATCGAGACGCTCCGTGTGTGTGTGTGTGTGTGTAGCATCTCAACAGATGTAGAATTTTTGCTATACTTTTTTTTTTACATGTAGCGGGGGGTCACCGGGGTCCCGGGGGGGTCGGTGACCAACGAAGACACCTCCCGGGACCCGTGCAAACGTACCCGCAGGACTTCGGTGGTGCACCTGGGCGCATTTAAGTCGCAGCTGGTGACCACCATAGTCCTAAAATAAAAAATAGTATAATTAAAAAAGTGTAACATAATTAACAAAATATAATATAACAAAACAAAAAATAAAATAATACACAATAAAATACACCAAAGATAATATAAAATCAAAAAAAATAAGATAATTTAATCAAAATTACTTTACTTCGGGTTATCCCCACCATGACATCTATACGTTTTGTTACTGGCAAATCTTCTGGCATTCTATCTGACATATCTTCTGGCATTTTATCTGGCATATCTTCTGGCATTTTATCTGGCATTCTATCTGGCATATCTTCTGGCATTCTACCTGGCATATCTTCTGGCATATGTTCTGGCATATCTTCTGGCACTCTATCTGGCAAACCTTCTGGCATTCTACCTGGCATATCTTCTGCAATATGTTCTGGCATATCTTCTGGCACTCTATCTGGCATATCTTCTGGCATATCTTCTGGCATATCTTCTGACATTCTATCTGGCATTCTATCTGGCAAATCTTCTAGCGTTCTATCTGGCAAACATTCTGGCACTTTATCTGGCATACCTTCTGGCATTCTATCTGACATTCTATCTGGCATACCTTCTGGCATTCTATCTGGTATATCTTCTGGCATTCTATCTGGCAAACATTCTGGCACTTTATCTGGCATATCTTCTGACATTCTATCTGGCGTTCTATCTGGCATATCTTCTGGCATTCTATCTGGCCGTTGAGGGCCAGCGGTGCTCACTGAGCTCGGAGGGTCCCAGGTTGAGGTCCAGCGGTGCTCACTGAGCTCGGAGGGTCCCAGGTTGAGGTCCAGCGGTGCTCACTGAGCTCGGACGGTCCCAGGTTGAGGTCCAGCGGTGCTCACTGAGGTTGGAAGGTTCCAGGTTGAGGTCCAGCGGTGCCCAGTGCGCTCAGACCCTTGCAGTTGAGGTCCAGCAGTGCACACTGCGTGCGGAAGTTGGCGAAGAGCTTGGCGAAGAGTTGGCAAGGCGGAAGTGAACATGGAAGTGGAGGAAGAGGTGGTGGAGGAGAAGGAGGAGGAGGAGAAGGAGGAGGAGAAGGAGAAGGAGAAGAACAACTCTGATAAAATCTAACAACCCTCACCTGGCAGGTGGGGAAAAATACAATATAATATAATATACTAAACTAAAATAAAATATAATATAATATAACATAATAAAATAAAATACAATATAACCGAAGGAAGTTTAGAAGTCAAACTTCCGACTATATGGACAGATGAAAAGAAGAGATGGGAAGAGTCAGAGAAGAGAAGAGAAGAGAAGAGAAGAAGAAAGAAGATCAAAAAAGAGAAAGAGTCTCAGAAGAAAGGAGATCCAGGTTCGCGAAAAGGTAGGAAAGTCGCGAAACACGGTGCTTTCCCAATGATTTGTGGCTCCGGAGGGTCGAAAAGTATTCGGAGCACTTTTTGAAGTTGCGATGTCGAAAAAGTGCACGCCGTTGTGGCGCGAAGCACATTTCGAAGTAAAAATGTACAAGACACCTCAACTTCGGAGCGCTTGTAGAAGTTGCGATGTCGAAAAAGTGCACGCCGTTGTGGCGCGAAGCACATTTGGAAGTAAAAATGTTAAAAGCACCACATGCTCGGACCGCTTTTTTGACGTTCAGATGTCGTTTCGCACGGCAGGCGCAAGGGATTGTGCACCGTGTCAAAAGTGAGAAAAACGTGAAGGCCTTGTAGCATTTCCAAAAACGATGGCAGGCGTGGGACATTTGAAGAGGATCTGCAAAGATGCATTTTCCGTGGCAGGCGCAGTGCAAGAGACATGTTCACCAGAGCTGTTAGGAGGTCCGGGCGCTGATTTCCTGAGGGTTGCATTTTGGAGCATCAGATCTTCAGGTTTGCTGAGATGATTTTGCGTGACAGGTGCAGCACTTCGTATGACCTGGCATCACTTTTTCGTGGCAAGCGCAGTAGTTTAGACAGATGGAATGGAAAAATTGCAAAACGCATTGGTACGAGGCCGTCAGCTCTGCACTCAACTTTCCATTTTTGACGGACGTCTCGCAGAATTGCTTCGTTTTTGATGTTGTCAGCTTTAAAAAATGAGGAAGTCTCGCAGAATTGCTTTGTTTTTGACGTTCCCAAGTTCAAAAATTGAAGAAGTCTCGCTGCATTGCTGCGTTTTTGATGTTGTCAGGTTCAAAGAGGACGTCTCGCAGAATAGCTTCGTTTTCAAGCTTGCAGATAGACAGATAGACAGACAGACACATAGACAGATAGATAGATAGATAGATAGATAGATAAGATTAGATGAGATTAGATAGGATAAGATCAGAAAAGATAAGATAAGATTAGATTAGATTAGATGGGTAGACAGGCAGATAGATAGAAAGACAGATAGACAACTACAACTACAATTACCACTACACTACACTACACTACTGCCACAGCTGCAAATACAAATATACTACGCTACATTACACTACACGAATTACACTACACTAATTACATCTAATTACACTACACTACGCCAATTACACTAACAACTACAACAACAACTACTACCACAACTACAATTACAACTGCATTACACTACGCTAATTACACTGCAGCACACTACAACTACAAATGCAACTACAACTACAACCACGCTACATTACACAACACTGCACGGCACTGATTACATTGCATTACACTACAACTACAACTGCAGCTGCAACTGCAACTGCAACTACCACTACATTACACTACACTACACTACGCTACACTACACTACCCTTACAGCTACAACTACAACTGCAACTACAGCCACAACTACAACCACACTACACTACACTACACATACTACACAGCATTACACTACATTACACTACATTACACTACACTCAACTGCACTACACTAATTACACTACACTACAACTACAACTACACTACACTAATTACACTGCGCTACCACAACTACAACTACACGACCTTACACTAGACTACACTACACTATACCACACTTCACTACACTACACAACACTACACGACATTACGCTGCACTACACTACACTAAGTACACCGCACCACGACTACAACTGCAACTGCACTTGCAAATACACTAATTACACTACATTACAGCTATAGCTCCACTATACTTCACTCCACTACAACTACAACTACAACTACAACTGCGCTACACCACACTACATCCAGCAGTTGTGGTGAGGTGACCGCTGCGACCATTGCAACCATTCCAAAAAACACAACTCCAACCACCTGCCGGTCCATCAGTGGATTCGCTCTGCCATCCGTGATTCACAACAACCAAACTCTCCTATAGGTTTCCTATTTATGAAACTTCTGCCACCGCCTTGTGCGGTACTACTGGCATAATATAATATAATCAGGTTTGGTTATGTTTGGTTAAGGTTTTACGGGATTCAGTTCCCGACGGATCACTCCAATGATCTAGTTCTTGTCTAGTCTAGTGTGTGTGTGTTGCACATGCCAACATGCTACGGTATTGAAGCTCTCAAACTGTCCTCAGCATTCTGGGACTTTGGAGAACATATTATTGTCATCTGTGGTCATCTGCTGTCAATTGTGGTTCCAAAAACGCTGAAATTACAAGCAGCATCAAGCAGCAACACTTGGCCTATTTTGGACGCTACCAGTCAGCCAAGGCTCGGAAATCATTCTCGGCTATGCCTTTGGCCGCCTCTGCAGTTGTGCCGTGAAACAACCAGTGTTCGTTGACAACCTCAGCAAGCAAGAAACACAGCGCGAGTTCTCAAAGAGGCACATGCCAATGTCTTCATCTCCATTCCATAGAACCAAAGCTTAAAGTGAAAAACACGGAAGAGTATGTCGCCAGCCACCCAATGGCCGTGCGGGATTATTTTGGACTGTGCAGTTTCTTGACCTTTGTATTGTGAGTTTCAATCTCCTCCCGTTTCTCCCTTGCTCTTTCTTACTTCTTCAGCATTGTTCTGTATAAGTTTACGGCTGGATCCAGTGGTGGCAAAGCGGACAAACCACCACTCCTCATGGCATCAATGCAATCTACCGCAACACTGTTCCCACAACAGAAATTCGCATCGCCGGCACTGTGACGGTGACGGAACCTTGAACAGTGTGTTCATGTTTGCTTTTACCGTCAATTTTATCGCTGTCTCAACTCCACAGTTGTCAAGCAACATTTAGAAGAAAGATCCGATCATTCACAAATCCATAGCAAACTCTATCGATTCTCACTTGATAACCAGCAACCTTTGTTCCTAGTTGACCCAACTCATTCGCCAACTCGCTCTCTCACTGACTGCCCTCCACTCCCAATGACACGTTCATAATACAGAGCACCGCCGGACTGTGGAACAGTTTGTGCTATAATCTGCTCACACGGTTCTGATCGAATCATTGCAGAAATCACTGCAGGAGGACGATAGTGCCCGGTGCCCGGTCGTGCCGGGCAGATGTTTCCAAAAATAGCAATGGCTATTAGAAATCAATGGCCTATAGGAACTCTTTGAGATGCAGAAGCAATGAACAACTGAGGTCACAAGGCGCATCAACACATGAGCAAATGGTTGTTGAGATGCCGGCAAAATGACAGGGAATCAATGACGTGAAAGAATCAGTGCACGGATGGCTGGGTGAGTGAATTGATCAACCAATGAACCAATGAATGAGCGAGTCAGTGAATGATTGGATCAATGAATGAGGGACTCAGCGAATCAACGTGCCAATGAGCGAATCAATGAACCAACGAATGGAAGAAGGAATGAATCATTCAATGAATCAATGCTTTCGTGAATCAATGAATGAATGAACCCATGAATCAATGAATGAAAGAACCAATATGGATCAACATGGAAACTTCTCCAGGAATCAATGAATCCATCAGTGAATCAGTGAGGAGTGAATTGATGAATTAGTGAAAGAGAACCAACGAATGAATGAATGAGTGAATGAATGAAGGAAGGAATGAATGAATGAGCGAGCTACACCTTGTTGAGCTACCCATCCACCCATTCCCTAAGCCAAGTTTTTCCCAACTACCTCTTCGCTGAGCTCAGCTAGTTCTTCACTGAGCCATTGAGCCACCTCTTCGCTGAGCTACCTCCTTCGCTAAGTTACCTCTTTTCTCAGCTACTTCTTCTCTGACCTGCCTCTTATTATCTGGGCCGCTTTTGATTCTTTGACCCGCTTCCACTCTGAGCTACCTCCCTGTCTCAGTCTTTGCACAGCCATTACAAAGCGTTTATGAACCTTCAGCTGCAGTCCCGCACAGCAGCGTCACAGCATGACTACAGCTTTCCTACGCGCAGCCGTGCCCATGCGTTTTGTCACAGCCGGTTGCAATCCCGCACAGCACAAACGCACCATCATATTCTCACCATTTCGGACTTTCGAACCTGAAATCGCTGGTGGGCGCATCCAGGGCTGGTCCGAACCCCTGTCACTGTCATTTTGTTTAGATCTTTAAAGCATGTTTTTGGCCTAAATCGAGCTCTCGCTGCAGCTCGTGTGCTTTTTTTCCGACCTCATCTTCTAAAAGTGGTCTGCGGCCTGCGGCCTTTAGTTTTTATATGTTTTTATAGTCTTTTAACATTTGGAACTGCGAATCGAGGAAGTCTGGGTCTGTCTTCGACCAATCTCTCACTCTTGAGTATGCGGTTGCGAATCCTTCGCAACTGTAGCAGGTAGCCTTTAGATTGCTTCAATTTGCCGGTGGTTGTATGCTTGAGTACTGCTTCGTTGGAGCAACATGGAGGCCTGGATCCTACACTTCTTTTGACGACATTTGACGACGACATGCTGCAACACTGCTACTCTCGTTCTCTGAACATGGACAGTGTGCAAAAAATTACTTTAGGATTCACTTGGACTCACATATCTTGCCAATTCTTGCAATATCTTGCAACAATCTCTTGCGAAATCTTGCGAACATGCGTCTGCGACAGGTGATTCACAGTGTGAGATCCATCTGGTAGTTCTGCTTTCTTTGAAGCACATGCCTCTCGCACCCCTTCTCTCCGAGCTTCGTACTCCTAAGTCCATGCTTGTTGTGAGATATTGTGCGGAGTATTAATGATCCTTTAAATATATATATATATATACAAAATCCACACCCATCAAGTAAAGCACGTTGCAGCATTTTGAAGCTGACTGAGGCACCACGAATAAGCCAAGAGCACCCAGAGGTTACAACACATCCCTGAATCAACATAATCAACAAATGCATGCAAACGCCAAGTATCTCTCCACACCTGACCAAAATTGCTCATGTGTGCAGTCGTGTTCAGTCTTCCCATGTCCATCTCAAGGCGCTGGTCATCATTTCTCTGAACTTTGGACGAGTCATTTTGTAGTCACAGTGTTTTTTCCTAAACGATTTCTTTCACTACAAGATCTACAAGCATATACCAGCACAGTTATAGTTCAGTACCCAACATTGGTCTGGACTTGCACTTCTCATCCACAAAGAATCGCTGCCTGGTCGTTGAGGACTCGGTGGACCTGCAACTGTTTCGAAGAACAATGGTCCACCGGGGTCCACTGGGACATCTATAGACTGTACATGACTGTACTATCTGTATCTATCTGTACTATCTATACTTGTGACATGAGTCCCTTTCGTGAGCACATGTGAGCACCACACTAACCCCATCTAACCCCTATTAACCCCTGCCTCTTTCACCACAAATCTGTCAGGGATGGGTGCGCCACGTCTATCACGCGTGTACACCTGATTTCAAATCAAGCCATCTTAACAGCTACGCAACAAAATCTCCTTCAAAGTTTCTTCAGCAACACTCTACAAACCTCACACAAACCTCTACATAGCTTCTGGGGCAGCCTGCGGGGACTAGTCGTTGTTGCAGGGGGTTCCGAGTAAAGATCGTGAGCGACGAGTCTGGAAGGCTCTGATTGGTTCCAGCTAAGAGCCCAAAGGATCTCTAGAGAAGATTTGCCAGGGTTCCAACATGTTCCAACTCTGGGAGGCTCCAACTCAAAAATTCAATACTTTCTTTATGTTTATTTAAATCTGTGTAGTTGGTGCTGACGGATAGACTCAAAGTGACAAAGAGGACCCGTTGCTTCTTGGGGTCTCACATGGGCAGAGCGGCGACAGCTTTCAGATTTCGTATGTTGTCCGAGACCAAGGTGGTTTAGGTGTCTGGAAAAACTCCTATGACCGGCCTATCCCAACCTCGGCCCCACAAGGGCCAATGACGAGACAATATTCCGTGCGATTACTGAAACTGTATAAAACTCTACTGTATATTCTTTTATTTTCCGATTTATTTCGTGTGCAGGCCTCCTTAGCACTTGCACGCAGAAACATCAGAAACCACATAAATAAATAAATTAAACATCAGAAACCATTTAAACGTGCCATGTCGTGGTTTGCCGCGGTTTGCCTGGGACAATTCCAAGAAGGCGGCGTGCCGTGAAGGAGGGATATGGAGGGCATTGACTGTGTTCGTTCTGTTGTTGAATTGCATCGGGTGTCTGTCTGAGGTGCAATTGTCGTATTGCGTCCATCATCACCAGATTCTCGGTTGTGTGAGAGCTTTGCCGAACATCTGCAACTTAAATCAAATCAACCCATGGACGGTGGCAACAACATTGCACATCAGTGCAGCAATCGAGGTGGCTTGGTAATGCGCCTGGAGAGTAGCACTATGTAGCACTCACTTGAACAGGCTTTACATGAGAGCTCAGCCGTTGAGACTCAAAACAAAGCCCACGACCAAAACACACAACAGTTTTTGCAGTTAAAGAGCCTTTTACATCCTTTTACATCCTTGTAAGTTTTTACAAAGTCATTCTGTTTGATGTGTTACATTGTGTTACTGTGAGACTCTGCCTCCCATGATGTGATCATGCGCGCATGAGTTTCTTTGCTGAAGACTGCAATCAAAAACATCTGATCAAAACATCATGACTAACAAGCTTGATAAGTTTCAAATGTGGACCTGAGGATCCAACTTTTCGGTACGTACCATCGAGCACAGATTGCATTGCTTTGACAACCTCATTGGCTGTCTGACTGGGTCCAAGTTCATCGAAATTCCATAACGCACGAGCGAGTTCAGGACCAAAATACGATACCGCAAAAATCTCAGCAAAATCGCCAAACCCACGAGAAACCGCCGGAGGCTGTGGATGGAATGCTACCACAGTGGATGCCTGACACTCCAAGGATTGCAACGGCGTAATTAGATGTAATTAGATGTAATTAGGGCCTTAGGGCACGTGGAATTGAATGAAGGTTCTGCCACTGACTTCAGCTGTAACTGGGCATGTTTGAATCCGAAATGCAGAGCAAATTGCCCCCAGCCTTTCGACCACCAAGGCCGCCTGTAAACTTGCAAGATGTGTTGTATGCGTGATCAACGCAAACGATGTCAACACAGAAAACCAAGGAAGGGCGACTTCATTTGCATCTCGAGTGTTAAGGTAAGATTCGGTAAAATACTGAGATAGAGCCTAGTCCATTCCAATCCATTCCAATCCATTGCGCTTTTCATGCCCCCTGGCACCTTCCAGCCTTCGGCCAGCACAAAAGACCTTTAAGTCCTGCCCAAATCAGAGCAATTTGGAAGTACTCACCCAATTCTCCGGCAAATCTAGCAAGTCAAGGCAGCTACGGAACACGTGCAAACTATGTATGACAGTGACGGATACTGCTGGATAATGTGCATCACCCCAATCCCGGTCCCAGTCAGCTGGCAATTTGAGGCTTGCTCGTAGGCGAGATTCAGCAGCTGAGTAACACTTCTCAAGAACAAGCGCAAATAAATCACACTACAAACATTTCCAGGCAATCTAGTACCATCGAGAAACGTCAATTGTGAAACCCCGTGTTGTTGTATTTTGTTTGCCGTGATGCCTCATGATGTGTGTAGTCTATCTACTGTATTAACCTCACCACTAAAATCTAAAAGTTCCGACGAGATGCATACTCCAAAACAATCCAAACCAATAGACTAAAATTCATTGACATATATTGAAATCATATATATATGATATTATATATATTATTATTATTATTATTATTATTATTAGTATTATTATTATTATTATATATATATAATTATATATTATAATTATATATATAATTATATATTATAAGTGTATATATATATATTACATTACATTACATTATATCATATAATATCATATCATATATAATATCATATTATATTATAATTATATTATATAGTTTTTTATTATTATTTATTTATTTATTGATTGATTTCAATGTTATATGTATATATTTATACAATCGTATACGATTCTCAGGTTGCAACCTGTGACTTCGGGACCGTGTTGCCCACGCGACCAAGCACTGGAGAGGGCTCGCCTCAAGACCTGAAACCAGTTCCCAGCGACTTTTCCTTCACGGTGTCGACATAACATTTCCTAGCTTCAGATTTCATACGGCTCAAGGCCTCAGGATCATCTGACTGAAGGCCTGTTGAAGGGCAAAAACATGGTAAAACTGCAAGAAAACACTAGGAACAACAACTCCACGCAAAACACAATTTGATGCAATGATATGTAATGAACAAATCCCAAATTTGCTGAAACTTCAACATTGCATTCGCAATCATCTGCAATCATTCAGTTTTCTATCCTTCTCGGCTTTACTCCAGTCATTCTGAAGTCCAAGGTCTGAAATGACAAAAGAGTGCAAAAGTGACCAGCGCCAAGACAAGCCTTCTGCCGTGCCAGAAGTTGCTGCCGCGGTTGACATGCTTTCAGCGTTTTTCTCTGCTTTTGGCGCTGAAGATGGCGCTGATGCAGGGTCTGGTCAGTGAACTTGCCAAAAGGGTCAGTCAAACATGAGTTTCAACCAGAACACCGCAAAAACTTGAAAGAAATTGACGCACCCAAGTTGATTCGGATTTGTTGGTATTTCCGCAATTTGCCAGACAAGATGGCCTTCTGCGCTTTTGCTACCGCCACAGCCCATAGCAAATTTCACTTTGCAAACAATGCAATCCAAGTTGGTGCATGCTTTGATGTTTGACAATGTTTGACATATGTTTGACACATCTGCTGTTGGCGCACTCTGGTTTCACACTGTTGGGCTGAATGCTTCAAGAGATCAAACATCTGATGCGAAGGTTGAAAATTTAGTACATCAAACATGCCACGACCGTGCAAAAGTCAAATGCTTGAGCAGTGAAAATTGCAAAAATTCAATTCGGCCCTGGCCAGAGTCACACAGTTTGAAACAATTTCTAGGCGTTTCATGTTTTATGTTCTTTTTTGACAACACTTCGAGGACTTCCAGCATCTGACTTGCTTGAGTTGATGCACGTGCCTGCCCACGGGGTGGCCGTCCAGCAGGAACCAAACCTGGTGGTGCCTTTTCCTGGCAACTCACAATGCAACGAATCTTCCGCAATTTACACTCAAGAGATCTCAAGAGATTTAGGCAACATCAGGCAACCAAGCACCTGGTCCAATGCTTGCCTGCCGGAATGCATACAGGAAATTCCAGCTGAAAAAATACTACTCTCCCTCTCAGTTCTCATCTTCGGCTCAATTTTCACTGTTTTATATGCTTCATTGATTCATAGTGCTTCATCAAATGCTTGCCAATTTTCACACAACACCATGTGTTGCCAACTCGTTGGGTCGGGCAAAGCATCTTTGGGTCCGAGTCGCTGTTGGCTTCGAATCTGTCGCATCTTTTCAGCCCTTGAAGAGTATGCACTCTTTGCGCCAGCCTTTGAAATTTCGAACAAATAAATATGTGCAAACACCTCAAAAACGCAAATGCTTTCACGACGTGGCTAAACGTGAAACCTTGACATGTTCTGATACTCTGTTATTTAGTGAGCTGAGGATCATGTCTGCCAAATTGACAAGTTCGGCAACCTTGTCATCTCCTTCTCCGTTTCCATCAGTTACTTCATGAGTCACCTCCGTCAGCTGGAGTTGTTCGAACAGGCTACCAGTCTATTGTGCGTCCTCATTTTTGTGATTTCCGCAGAAACTGAACCGAACGTATCCAAAAGTCAGGCCTTGTCCTCCTCCTTGTCACTATTCTCCGACTTTGATGCCATTGGGGCTGCAGGGCGGCATGCAATCGGCACTTTGAACGCTTCGATCAACTTCTGGCTGATGATATTCTGCCTGTGCGTTCCTGGTCCCACTACATTTTCCAAAGGTCTTTGTTCAGTATTTTTCAGTGTTTTGCTGCTTGCCTCAAGTCACGTTGGCATCCAAAGATATCTAAAACACAATTTCATGCAATTGTGTGGGTTAAAATTGCCAACATCATTTACGGATTTCAAAGCTCTGTCATGAGTAGCAGCCCGTCGCTCTTGAGCGGTGCAATTTTGGTGCTGTCCTGCCCCCCCCCCCTGCCTACAAAGCGTATACCAAAGAGCTCAGGACTCTGAGAAGTCATTATGTCATTTCAGAAACCAGCTGAATCATGGCGAATGTTGTGGATATTTGTTGATCATATTTTTGTTGACTTTTTAAATTTGATCATAATTCTTATTTTTATGATTTCTTCATCTTCTTCTCGTTTCCTGAGCTCGAATCGAATCATGATACATGATTTTACTCTGGCCATGGGCCAAACAACTTCTTGCACTCCAAGAATTTTCAAGGAAACCCGTAGGTCATCGTAGATCACATGGTTTGGTCATGTTTGGTCCATGGATCTTTTGGATCTGCGGTTCGTGTCGATGCCAAAAGTCGTAGGTTGGATATGGTTTGATCTTTAGACAAACTGGCATTCAAAGTCTAAACGATCCAAAAGACTGGAAGAAAACATCTCCCCACAATCGCCCACGCAGCAAGGAAACATGACATCAAAACAAATCAAAAGAATTCAAATATCAAAATATATCAAACCTGAACCTGGAAATGCGGAAGCTCGAGCCACTCCGACCCTTGGAACATATCTTTTTAGGTCTGTCAACTCAGATCTCTGAATCGTCTCTCAAGGCTGGATGCTTGTAGATTCCAGCATTTGGCTGGGTCTCAGATTGCAAAATCAGATTGAAAGCAAGTGAAGACCAGTTGGAGTTGACGACATATGCATAATTTCATAATCAAATCAAAAGCACCGTGGACACTGAGAAAACTGAGAAGACTGAGGCGATGTCTGCCTTTGAGAGTGACTCCCGGTCAATGGCAACCACCTGTTCAAACTCTCTTGGTACCATTGTGAATTAATCCAGCATAAGACGCCTGAATGACTGATCTGTGGGTTGGCAAATTAGATATAACTTACACATTTCAAAGTTGAGCATTCAAGCACATTGTCCACAACCTTCCCGACATTCTGGTAGAGGTTCCACAAACTACGAGTAGCAGTTTTTGCTGGCCCTAATTACTTTGCATTTCTGCATTGAAGCTGAATGAATAGAGTGTCCACATCCGGGGAAAGTCTGCAAATGTCTGAATGATGTGCCCACACGTCACTGCCCTGTCTTGTAGTACGTTTAATGATTAACGCGAAAGTCTGATTTACGTTGAAACCACAAAGGCCAAACCAGACCGAAACACAAAAATCAAGACACTACCAAGGCACCCCAAACACCACAGAGACAACATGAGACAACACCTAGAAGTCCGACCCAAGCACGAAAAACCCAAACACAAACGCGAAAGGCAAACACCACCTTCAAATCAAAACTAAAAAAATAAAGTATACTAAAGTTACTAAAAGCCCAGCACAGCATCAAGACATCATTGCAAAATATTGCAAATTAGATAAGAAGCATCACAAGCAAGACGGCACAAACATACGAATCATACTGTAATAATCATATACGAATCATACCAAGACTGTAGCCCTTGTTGACCAGGCACCCAACCACCTAGAGCGTGAACAACTCCCAGCCGCCATGAGGGAAATCTTGTTTGCCATTTGCCCGGTTCAAAAAGCGCCTCTGGAATTGGTAACGACCTCCACCGGAAGCCCGTCTGAAACTGCCAAACAGATATCACCTCAATGGAAGTGATTCTCTCTCATCATCCAAGTGGGAGTCTACTAATTACTTGACTGATTGAGCCCTCAGAAAATTATGCCACAGCTTTGCAGCATCAATCATTCCAGTTGCTTTGGTCCTCAAACCAATGCAAACAAATGCACACGCTATACCTCCACCTCTTTTATCAAAAACCTAGGGTGCTGCTGATTTCTCTGCCAAACGTGGGCATAGCATGGCATAGCTACCCCATGCTTCCTCTCGTGCCAAGTCGCAGCAATCACGACCCCGACAAATGCCACTGCTGCTGGAATTAAACTTGACGATCGATGCAGGAGAAGTCCACACATTCCGACCTTAAGGTCTGCCGCAGCCCGCAATTGACCATGCTACCGTGAGCACGTCAACGAAAAGTGTTTTAAACTGTTTTAAAAGCGTTCAAGTATCAAGTTCTAAAATGATCTAAGAGAAAAGAATAATAAGATAGAACATGATAGAAGCACACAAAATAGCATCTATAACTATAATATCTAATATCAATATCTATAATTGTATATACCCCATAAACATTATACATTATATATACAATATCTAAAACGTGGGTAACAAGTGACGTATCAGCGTGCACCTCTGTCTCGCCGCCTGGCCTGGTGGCTTGCTACAGTTCCTATGCCTTGCGATTTCACACGGCGACACCGAGCTGAGGCAGAAACAGCAAATAGAACCTGACATCATTGCCATCGATTATCGTCAAGTGTTCAATATGATCATGATAATTTCTCAGTGCTCCACATAAAATATCAAATGCAGAAACCGCGATAGAAGACTGCGCCATGAGTAGCTACTGCTACGTGTAGTACTGCACAATGCAGCAAAGTCGCCATACTATACCTTACAATGGCAGGTTTGGACAAAGATCAAAGCATGATGCCCATTGCCCCAAATCACAATGCCCCAAAGGCCATGTAAAGCTACGTGCCTCCCTCTCCCTCTCTATCGCCCTGCTTGGGCGCATAACAGTTTTACATGAGTTTACAATAGTTTATATGTTTATATGTAATCTAATGTATATACTTCCTGTTACTCCTCAGTTGTTCAATTTGTCGTATAGGTGTGACCGGTTGGCTCGTGTCATCGCTGTTTCTTCTTTCTGTCTAAGGCTGTGGCTTTGCAAGATGCATCTGCATACATCTATATAAATACAAATAGATTTGAATAGGTTCACTCATCTCGGTAATCTCGCAGTCTGTTGGGTGGCTGGTAGGTTGACCAATCTTTTCAATTTTGTTTCGCATTTCCCCTTCAGTTAGAAATCTTTGTCCCCTCACGTGCCAGTTTCTTCTCATCAGCCCCATGACTTCGTAGGCCTTCGTACTGCTTTCAATGGCATTGTTTTGAGCACACCAGACAGGCCACATAGCACCCCTACTGACCCCAAAAACATCTACTGTAGTCGTTTCTTGTTAAGCAATGGGAAGATATGTGATGATACGTGAAGTAGATATTGTAAAAGTATATCTGGTTGCTGTCGGAGGTGCAGCAGTTGCGACAATGATTCCGACCAGAATTCTCCCCCGGAGTCTGCTTTCTTTGTCTCAGCAAAGGCCTCACAATCATTGACAGCGCAGGTGTTCCAAATTTCCTCCGAAGATCAAAGCATTGAACAAACATACAAGCCCAGCTGCCCAGCTTAGTCCAAGGCAAACAAATATCCATATGCAACTCGTTGCAGAAGAAACTGGACTAGCGTCACAAGTGTCACGAGGGGCCACACACCTGGGACATCTGGAGGACTGCATCACACTCTATTATATAATTAGGATATATAGTGAAGTGAAGTATGTGGACTGCTCTATCCTGCGAAAGACACCACGTGACTATCATATTTTCGGTGTCGAGTTTGTTCTGAGCTCAGCACCGCAGAATATGCATCCTTGGTGACGAAAAATATGACTACATATTCATATGACCTACAACCCTGGAACCTCAATGCCCTGCAAATGTAACGCAATGAATTACAAAGCTCCTATCGAATTGGGGCTTCAGCCGATAACCAGGTTCAAACTCCATCGGGCAAATCGCCCTCCCATACCGTAGAACTCCTGGATTGAAACTCAGGGGAGATCAGGGCAAACATAAGATATTTACAACAAATATGGCAGAAAATCTATATTCCTGAAGCGATATCCATCCCACACAATGAAACATGATGAAATCTGATGAGATTGTTTCATGCCTTTTTCCATGTATCTGACTCTTCACCATCTGACTCAATTGACTCGGATGCACCTTACCTGATCCTCAGGCTCAGCCATGTCGCGTGCTTCCTTTTCCGTGTGCATTGCCCTGAACGCGGGCACGCGATCCAATTCTCAAGTCTCACCAGCCGCCTGACTAGTTTCAGAATGTTCCATGTGCCAAAATGCAATCAAACGCCACGTCGTTTTCACCAAAAACCTCTTCACTTTCACTACTCTGATCATTTTAATCGCCATCATCACCATCACCATCATCACTGCCGCCATCATCGCCATCCTCCTCCACCTCCTCCACCTCCTCCACCTCCTCCACCTCCTCCCACCCCCACCTCCATCAGCATCAGCAGTATCGGCATCATCAGCGTCAGCATCAGCATCATCATCACAATAAACAAAAATAACAATCATAACAATTATAAACACATATAAAAACTGAAAATACAACAATATATTGTATAATAATAATAATACTATATGTACAATAATAATCATCATCGTTGTCACATGTTGTCACCATCAACATCCTCCTTCTCCTTCTCCTCCTCGTCATCATCATCATACCAGCATCCTCCTCCTTCTTCTCCTCCTCCTCCTCGTCATCATCATCAAAATCATCACCATCACAATCATAAACCAACCTCCTCCTTCTCCTCCTCCTCCTTGACCTCGTAATCATTATCATCATCTTCATCATCATGCTCATCCTTGTGCTCATCCTTCTCATTATTGTCATCAACGTCGTCAGCACCAGCAGCAATGTGAGAGGAGTGTGAGAGGCATAAAAACACCGACACAACTCGGCTAATTTCGTTGTCGTCACCATCCTTCAGGTATTGGCATGGCTCCACCGGCTGTGGTCCAGAAAGCACACGGGTCACAGGAGAAAACGCAGGGGCGGCACGGAAAGCCATTACTAGCCGGTCATAGAATGGACCGCTGCTGTTGCATGCTATGGTATACCCTGGGTATACCGCTACAATACCGCTACACACTGGTGGAAACGTCCATTGTAAACTTGCAGTCCGAGTAGACAAAACATGGAAAGACCATGGGATCAGAGCACATGCGCAACGCAAAACGCGCAAGCGAGACTTCAACAAGGCACTGCCCAAAAGAATATGCATTTGACAACATTTGGCAACCAAATAGATTTAAGATGATTTAAGGAGTTGTAAGGCATGCGGTAAGTTTTTCATATTTTCCCGAGCTGGACTACGAAGAGGCTCAGAAGTACAGTCGCGTCGGCGTAGGTTTTACAGTTTGGCTCATGAAGTCGAGAAATTACAGCTACAAGTAGCTGCGGCGAGATTTAGTAAAAACTTCTCGCTGTCTCAAACTATCTCAATTCAAATGTTGTAATTACTGTATCCTATCCAGTGTGCTGTGGCATGCGCTATGCCTGATCGCGAGCTAAATCACCAAGCAAACCCACTAGAACCTGCTGAGCCGGAAAATGCAAGATCTAGAACTGACAGCGTGCCTGAACAGCAAAAATTTTCCCAGCACAGCCATCCTCAAGATCTCCATGCCTCACTGTGCCGTTGTGAAGAACCCTGCAATGCATACAGCAACCATCAGCAACCATCAGCAAGTATGGGACGAACATTAGCAGATTCAGTCTCAGTACATCTCTGTGGTGTCATGTTTTCGTGCTAAGGCTGCGTCAAGCAACAGACCACTGGAGAACAACAAAGCTGAAAAAGAACTGAGATGACAGTGGTATCCTCAGACGACGAATCAGCTGCTTGCCCATTGAACTCATCTTGCTGTGAAGAAGTGGGATCAAGTGATGCAAAATTTTCTTCCAGCAGGTCTTGAAGGATGTTTGCTCTGATCGAAGGTCCTAACTCCTAACCACAATGTATGCCTTCTTTTGAAGGTAGTTATTCACCAGACACATGCCCCGTTTTGATAAAGTGCTCTGCTGCCTGAGCCCGATTGTAATGACCATCCACTTTTCGTCCTTCTGATCCCTCCAACCCCCCTGTGGGACTGGGGAGGTCTCTTATATGCATGCAGCATGCATGTATCTAGGTATGCAGGTAGGTAGGTATGTATGTACGGATGTAGGTACGTATGTATGTATGCAAGTAGGTATGTAGGTATGTAGGTCTAGGTATGTAGGTCTGTAGGTCTCTAAGTATGTAGGTATGTATGCATGTGGGTATGTAGGTATGTAGGTATGGTAGGTATGTAGGTAATGTAGGTAATGTAAGTAATGTTAATGTAGGTAATATATGTGCGTATGTATGTAGGTATGTAGGTAGGTAGGTAGGTAGGTATGTATGTAATTATGTATGTAACTATGTATGTAGGTATGTATGTACGTACGTACGTATGTATGTATGTACGTACGTATGTATGTATGAATGTAGGTACATGTATGTATGTATTTTTGTATGTATGTATGTATGTATGTATGTAATGTATGTCTGTCTGTCTGTCTGTCTGTGTGTATGTATGTATGTCTGTCTGTATGTATGTATGTATGTATTTATGTATGTATGTATGTATGTATGTATGTAGATACATGTATGTATGTAGGTACATGTATGTATGTATGTACGTATGTATGTACGTACGTATGTATGTATGTATGTATGTATGTAGGCAAGCATGTAGGTACGTGTGTGCATGCATGTATGTATGTATGTAGGTAGGTAGGTATGTAGGTATGTAGGTATGTATGCATGTGTGTATGTGTGTATGTATGTGTGTATGTATGTGTGTATGTATGTGTGCATGTATGTGTGTATGTATGTGTGTATATGTATATGTGTGTATGTATGTGTGTGTATGTATGTGTGTGTATGTATGTGTGTGTATGTATGTGTGTGTATGTATGTATGTGTGTGTATGTATGTATGTATGTATGTATGTCTGTGTGTATGTAGGTATGTAGGTATGTAGGTATGTAGGTATGTAGGTATGTAGGTATGTAGGTATGTAGGTATGTAGGTATGTAGGTAGGTAGGTAGGTATGTAGGTATGTAGGTATGTGTGTAATGTATGTAATGTATGTAATGTATGTAATGTATGTAATGTATGTAATGCATGTAATGTATGTAATGTATGTAATGTATGTAATGTATGTAATGTATGTAATGTATGTAATGAATGTAATGAATGTAATGTATGTAATGAATGTAATGTATGTAATGTTTGTAATGTTATGTATGCATGTATGTCTGTCTGTCTGTCTGTCTGTGTGTGTATGTATGTATGTATGTAGGTACATGTATGTATGTATGTAGGTACATGTATGTATGTATGTAGGTACATGTATGTATGTATGTATGTATGTAATGTATGTATGTATGTATGTATGTTTGTTTGTTTGTTTGTTTGTAGGTATGTGGATATGTAGGTATGTAGGTAGGTAGGTATGTATGTATGTAAGTATGTAGGTAGGTGGGTGGGTAGGTAGGTATGTAGGTATGTATGTAGGTATGTATGTTGGTATGTAGGAATGTAGATATGTATCTAGATATGTAGGTATGTAGATATGTAGATATGTAGGTAGTAGGTACGTAGGTAGGTAGGTATGTAAATATGTAGGTGTGTATATAGGTATGTAAGTATGTAAGTATGTAGGTATGTAGGTATGTAGGTATGTAGGTATGTAGGTATGTAGGTAGGTAGGCAGGTAGGTATGTAGGTATGTAGGTAGGTAGGTAGGTATGTATGTATATATGTATGTGCCTGCACAGATGATGGATGCTACGTTGCAGTACCATGCAGTACCTCCCTCGTACTTTCACAGATTCTTGCTGCTACGTTATAGGATCGTTTTTGGCACATGCACAGGCAGTGGATGTTACATTACATGACATTCTATTGTACACGGGCAGACAGTTGATGCAACGTTAGAATGAGTTACAAGATCTTCTCTCCTACTTCCATAGACGCTTGATGTTACGTTACAGTTGGTGTTACGTTGCAAGACCTTTTAGCCTACACGCGCAGACAGTTGATGCAACGTTAAAAGAAGTTATACGATCTTCTCTCCTACTTCCATAGACGCTTGATGCTACGTTACGATCGTTACGAGATCTTGTCTTGTACGTGCACAGACACTTCATGTTGCGTTCCAAGACCTTCTACTTTACCTGCGCAGACACCTGATGGTCTCTGAAAGGATCGTCTCTTGTACTTGCACAGACACTTGGTGCTACATTAATAGACCTTCTCTTGTTCTTGCAGTTTTGCACAGACGCTTGGGCTTGGTGCTACGTTAAAAGATCTTCCCTCGTACTTGCGCAGACACTTGATGCTCTTGATGCTACGTTACAATTACAGGATGCTACCGGGGGGGACCATATCATCGGGGGGGGTACCGGGCCGCAGGCCGGTTAAATAATAATAAATATAAATATATATATATATAGACTTGTACATGTATACATGCAACTCTATGTACATATGTATATATATATATATATGTATACATACACCCAGTCGGGAAAGTCAGCGCACCGCCCGTTTGAAAACAAATCACAATGGGACGCTCCGCATTCAGGAAGTCACAGAAGTCAGTGCAAAATTATGCAAATCAGCATGGGATTGTGTGCAAAAAAGCGGCATCCATTCCACTGAATCCGAATCCCATAACATGACACGACATTTTATCTGGATGAGTTGCAACAATGAACTAGCCTGAAACAAGACCACCCCTCTTCTGTGAGGTTGTTACGATTTACCCAGATTTGATATGTTTTCATTACATGCCACTGCCACGCCCACAATCATACGCGAACATAAATATAAACACAAACATGTACACATACATGTCATTAGATGCATGCACGCAAATTCTCATATGCACACACACACAAACGCATTTATATGTGTCGGTGTGCAAATGCAAATACCTATGCACAAAATTAAGGGGATATAGCATATAGAACTGCAAAAAGAACATACAGTAAACAAACACCGCTAGTACCTGCATACACACAGTCACAGAGATAAATAAACAAACAGACACAACGATATTAATTTCATATGACCTTGCATCGCATTGCATTGCATTGCATCATATCACAATACATAGCAAAGCATAGCAAAGCATAGCAAAGCATAGCATGGCATAGCATGGCATAGCATGGCATAGCATGGCATAGCATGGCATAGCATGGCATACATAACATACATAACAGACATAACATACACACATAAGGTACATACATAACGCACATAATGCACAACATACAGACATAATATACATAACACACAAATCATACAGAACATATTTTAAAAAAAACACAGCAAAAATATGCAAAAAATAAAATCATAACACGCACAACACACATACAGTAACGGACATAATATACATAACATACCCATACATGCATTAAATCACATCACATTATGAATCATGAATCACATTACATCACATCACACCACATCACACGACACATCATGACACCACATCACACCACATTACATCACATGATATCACACCACACCACATCACAGTACAAACATACATTATATTGCATTGCATTGCGTTGTATGCATCAAAGAAGAGATAATCACATAACATCTCACTACATTACACTACATCACATTCCACGTCATTAAATATATACAAGTAGAATGGCACACACACACAAGCATATATATATATGTGTGTGTGTATGTACAAAAATAGCTATATAAATTGCATTATAGAAAGTATTATTATATAAGCATGATTTTAACATATTTTAACATTAACCTCCCTTTGTAGATAGATCCTATATAACCTTAAGTCAGCCCCGTGCAACCTGCCGGCTGCCAGCAACTCGCTTCTAACAAGATCCAACAAGCGTCCTGTCTGCCAGCAGCTTTAGCACTGAAGATGGACTTGAGTCTTGAAGGATCTGCTTAGCAAAGTTCCGGAAGTCACTTCCCACAATTGGAAGGAAGAGGATGCAAACCGCTTGGAAATGGAAATACCACATTTGGAGCTGATGTTGAGCCAGGGGCTCTGACCGCAGTGTGAAAAAGTTCGAAGGGATCAGAAGTAGTACCTTGAGCAAAGAACCAAACATAGAATTCCCAAAAAGCAAACATGGTTGGTCTTGCTTTGAGAAAATCGGCCTCAAATTTGTCTGCAGGCGATCAAGCTTGAAAAAACGAAGGATCCGAAGAATCCATGAGAATCTTAATGCCAAGCGGCAGTTGGTAGCATTGACAAGAAAATGGTGAGCCCGAGCGTTGGAGCCAAAGCAGCCCAAAGAGGCTGCAGCATCCCCATGTCGATTTCTGAGGCTGCTGAGGAAATTGCCAGGCAAATCGGAGAGAAGTTTGCGAGAAGAAACAGCATCAGCAAGTAACCAATGGCGACCGTCTTACCAGAACGTGCCTCTTGAGACAAATCCTGCCAACGAATCGCTGAAGCTTCTGGAGCTTCCGAAATGACCCACTCACTGCAACATCTGCAACCACTAAACTCCAGAGCCTTTGCGATCTCAGCATCTTTCCGGGATCTGAAGGTGACAAAAGCTGAATGAGTGTTCTGATTGTTCTGATCTCCTTCACCTTTCTGAGCCTCACGGTTGATGGCGTCTCGCATCTCCTTGATTTGGAGCTCGTATTTTGCCATTTCTGCTGTAAAGTAATCAAGTGCATCAGCACTGTCAGCACTGTCGGGACCAAAGCAATACAACAAGTTGTGCGGGAATCCTTGAAATCTCCCAAGCGTTGGCCGAAGGCCTTCCCTTTCAAAGTAGCCTTTTGATTCAGTCAGCTTGGTCTTTGCATTGTTCCAGAGTTGGATTGAATCTTCCAGAGTCTTTGTCTGCATCACCATCTCTACACAAACGACAGAGTCTGGACCCAAATTGTCGCAGAAAAACTTCTGGAGCTGTTCCTTTGATCTGCAATCCTTAGGGATCTCCTCTACCAGCACCGTGTTGGCTCTGGGATACTGCAAGCCCTTCATCCACGACATGCGCCTTGTAACGAAGCGGCTTTGAGCTTGGAATACCAGCTTGCGAACAGCCAGCACTGCCCAAATCACAGCGATTGCATGGAGATGATACAGCCATGGATGGTATATCTTTATGTTGGCCATCGACCAGCTTGCAAACAAGTCTGTATGTTCAAGGCCTCCTTCGCCGTACCATCGGTGTAAGGGGCTGAATAATAGGAGATTTGGCATCCTGGGCAAGTCACTGAAGTCACATCCAAGGGTATCTGTATCAGCATCAGTAACCTCTAAACTTTAGACAGACCGAAACGACGGCAACCCTTTCTAGACCGCGCAACATGCAGCAAATTACAGTACGGAAGGCTAGGAAAACACGGGTGGCCCATGGTAGCCCAACTGTGGCAAGTGGCCCAATAGTGAGCATCAGCTGCGCTCCAAAGGATGAATATTTTATGGCCATGCACGCGTCAAGGCCGAGCCCACTTTCGATCTTATCGAGGTCAACTGCCAAAGATGAGGCTACCCAGTTTCTGTCCATGTCCATGGGAACCTTTCCTTCCAACACATTTCCGCGAAACACCTTGGAGCACAATGAAATTGTGAATATCTTTGAATCCACTGAGACCGTAGACAAAACTCATTTGCATTGCTATTCCATTGCTATGCCAACACTTTTTGTTGCCAATCATTCACAGCATTTGATTCTATCGGGCTCAATGGCGGCAAGGATAGTAAGGTCCGGACCAAGGGATAGCGGTTATGTAGGACACTGAATAGCCCAAGGACTGTAGCGCACAGGAAGGCATTGGAAAGCAAAGCCGAAATGGCAGTTGCTGTCATAGCAGTGTAATCGATATGATCGCTTTGGCTTTTTCCATCCCCAGCTTGTATTCTAGCCAAGTCCTGCTTCCATCCTGATGGCTTGGTACTTGCATTCTTGGCATTCTCCACAGCATTCTTAGCATTTGCCATGTCCTTTTTCATGTCTGTATCTACGGGTATCCATCTTTCACGTGTTGATCTTTCAGTTTCCGTTTCTTGTGCGGACTCGTTGGTGTGGCTCAAGGTCAGGCTGGAGATGCTGGAACGCTGTACCAAGCTCGCACTTGCAGTCGGGTACTGCTCACCTTGACATTCAAAGCAAAATGGAAGTGTGCGAGGTGTGCGAGATTGGATTTAGTAGCAACTGCTAGAATAGAAATTGCATGCGAGATATGCCAGCAATTCCAGTCAAATAGAACATGGTCTGGCAACTACACAAACACACGTGTAACGGTCCAAAAACCCTACACACACATGCATGCATTGCATTGCATTACTACATTGCATTGCATTTCTTGCATAAACATGTACATACATGCATACGTATGTACGTATACATGCATACGTATGTACGTACATAACATAACATGACATAACACAACACAACATAACATAAACATAAGGTAACGTAACATAGCATAACATGACACAACATAACATCACATGGCATGACATCACATTAGATTACATTGCAATACATTACACACATATATGATGCATATGTATCATGCACACACACACACACAAACACACACACACACACACATACATAATCGTTAATAATAATATTATATATATATATATTACGGTCCCGTGACCTAGGCCTAAGGCCCGCCTGGTGACCTAGGATTTTGTGCACCAAGTCCTAAGTCACTGGTGTTGGTACCAGGTGATTTGTGTGCACCAAGTCCTAAGTCACTGGGGTTGTTATTGGGCTCAAGCGTTTTTTAGGGTAAAAAATAAATAAATAATATTCTCATATCTTCTCCTAATGTCCTAAGTCATCAGAAAAGAGTATGGACTTGGTGCACAACATCCGCTATCACCAGAGGGGCATAAGTCCTAAGTCATCAGAACGTACATACGTACATTACATTACGTTACATTACATTACCGTACAATACATTACATTGCATTACAATACATTACATTACATTACCGTACAATTAAAATGTCACGGCCCAAGAAATAGCTTAAATTGATCAAATGGATAGACTTGGTTCTGATGACTTAGGACTTATGCCCCTCTGGTGACATACGATTCTGTGCACCAAGTCCTGTGCATGAATGTAATGTAATGTACTGTAATGTACTGTAATGTAATGACTGTAGTGTAATGTAATGTACTGTACTTTACTGTAATGTAATGTAATGTGTTGTAATGTAATGTACTGTACTGTAATGTACTGTAATGTCATGTAATGTAAGGTAAGTATGTTCTGATGACTTAGGACTTATGCCCCTCTGGTAACATACGATTTTGTGCACCAAGTCCTGTGCATGAATGTAATGTAATGTACTGTAATGTACTGTACTGTAATGTAATGTACTGTAATGTAATGTACTGTACTTTACTGTAATGTAATGTACTGTAATGTAATGTACTTTAATGTAATGTGGTGTACTGTAATGTAATGTAATATGATGCACTGTACTGTAGTGTAATGTAATGTAACGTAATGTAATGTATGTATGTAGGTTCTGATGACTTAGGACTTGTGCCCCGCTGGTGACATACGATTGTGTGCACCAAGTCCTGTTTATGTATGTAATGTAATGTACTGTAATGTAATGTACTGTAATGTAATGTACTGTAATGTAATGTACTGTAATGTATATAATGTCATGTCCTCTACCAGTACATGACATTACATTATATACATTACATTACATATATACATACTTGGTGCAGCCCACGAGCATGATGACTTGTCCAGGGGGGGTCCGGCGCATGATGAGATAGGACTTGTCCACCCCGGGGTATCTTTCGCAAGTCCTAGTTCACGGTTCCCCAATATAATTATATAATATTATATAACTATTGTGCATTTCACAATGCACATGAAGGATAGTAAGAGTATGGTCAAAAATATCAACTAAGATTCCGCACATGGGCATATCGACGTATACCATTTACAAATATTTACGACGCAATATATAAACTCCTGATAGTTGTAACATGTTAGCAACATTTAGCAACCACTGAATACCGGCTAATCAGATCTTAGACGGGTGTACAGCCCACCAGTCAGGAAAGCAAAGGTGCAATCTCCTGGGCCAATATTGGGGCCGGGGTGGCCCAACTGAACTCATGGATTAGACTGTTGGCACAATGCACTTCTTGAGCGTTTCTTCAGGTATTTGGTTTGCTTGACTGCTTGACTCACGTTGAACTTATTTGCTGTGAGCAGGCCCTCTAGCAACATCATCTGTCTACTCACGGACAGGCCACAGGCTAGGGGCCGGAAAATACATGGGGCATCGCTGGGGCGGCTGCTGGGCAATGTCACAAGTCATTATATTGTAAAATCTCAAGAGTGCCCAATCTCAGCTAAGGTGCAAGTCTCTTGATCTGCTGAAACTGCTAAGAACGCTGTTATCAGGATGCAGCTGACAAGGGGCCAGCTCATCAAATAAGATGTTTCCCACCTCCTTAGATGCTCAGAGAACGAACGGTCAAAGGATGGGCGACAGCTACTGCTGGGGCATTGGGAGCTTACTCGGAATTTTGCTTTATTATATTTTATCCTTATTGAAGAGTAACTCAACAGCACAAGAAGCAAGTCCCACGGAAAATGCCAGAAAACATAACTTTCCAATTAACCTTGCGCCTTTCAGGAGAAAGCGTGCCAGGGAATTCAATCTAAGGCACGCACCGGCGATACAATGAATACAATGATATACAATGAATATGGATGGATAAGATCTTGAGCACAAATGCTCTTCCAAAGTACCCAGCTTCAGGAGCAAACACTCTCAATCCGCAAGTCTGAATCGCGTGACGTGCCAATGACTTGCCACGATTATATAACGAAGAACTTTCAATGTTGAAGACAGGGACGCAGCTCTAACAAGGTGCCAGCCGATGCAACTCGATGAACCCCGAACCTAGGACCTACTAGATCTACTAGTACAGTGAGTGACTGTAGGACCTTGATGCGCATTGTTAGTGAAGGCTTCATTGCTTTCATCCTCTACTTTTTTGTCGCCCTCTGAGAACAGTGCGCAAAGCTTGTTCCGTGGCGTTTTGTTTCTGCAGCACATCTGCTCGTTTAATTTCCCCCGAAAGAGGCAGAATCGATCTCTGAACTGCCTGAAGAGACTCCTGAAGACTTAACAGGACTATGGACAAATCTGCAACACACAGGTCAGCTTGCAAACACTTCAGCAGGCTGACCCATGCTTTCGGAAGAATCAAAGGAAACGCGCTTCACTTCGTGAGACTCACCCGACTCTGAATCAGAAAAGCCTCACAAAGGCGAGAAACCAACGAGTACCCACGAACACTCCACAGCCCGGCACAATCATACTGTGGATGAAGAAATATGAAGACATCCTGCATCAGTTGGTAACTATTATGGTAACTTTGAAACAGTGTAAATCTTGGGGTCAAGACTGGATACACCATCTACACCCATCTACCAACTGGTGCAGGATATTGTAGGATTTCTTCCATCCACAGTATGTTGAGGTGCTTTGTGACTGATACATATGATAATTGTTGATAGATACTTAGATATTGATACAATCCGGGAATGATCCTCCCGTTGTATGCAGAAATGCCTGCTTGCGAATCTCCTAGTCTGGATGGTGGACTGAAAGCCTGAGCATGAAAGGCAGGGGGCGCAAGTGTGCTTTCTGCTTTGTGACCACCCTCCCAACAAAAAGCATTCAGAGAGCTTTGCGCACGCAATATCATGCAATGCAGCAAGGATCATGAAAGGGTCACCATGAGGGCCCAACTGGCAAAGCTTGAAGCCCCCGTGACAGCCGTCCAGCACAATCGATACAAATGTCCTCAACGTAGGCACGTGGCTCGCAATTTTGCATTGTGCATGCTGCTTGTGCAATAAACCAGGCCGCATTTTTTGACATGATTGCTGCTTGCCCGCGAGGTCCGGATGGATCATGAATGATGGGACAAATGCCTGGACACTTTTCTTAAAGATGCGCATCCTATGATAATAAAGTATGATATCTATTGATTGATGCTCAATGATATCCAACCAGTTTCTGGGGGGGTTCAGTCAGTCAAGGTTTTGAGAGTCCAAAGTAAAGTATAAGTTCTGCCGAATTGCTTGGTGTCAAGAAGAGCATCAAAAATATGACATCAGGCTTCTACCCAACATCTCAGGTTCATTCCTTCCTTGAGGTCATTGAAAAACGATGCTGGAACATGGGAATTCACTTTCAAGGTTGGGATTGCGGATTGCACAAATCTCTGAAAAGTGGAAGCCCTCTCAATAAGACCTTCCATCAATCCATTCAATTACAATCAACTATAAATATATATATATACACATACATATTGCTTGTAGACCTCTTACATCCTGTAACCCATGCATGCGTGCCCTTACCCTAAACGTGGATTTTACCAGTCACATTCAGCCATTCGAAAGTCGCTCAAGCCCTTGACTCACGGGCTTAGCTGATATTGAGCACATAGAGTTCTAGTTGGGCAAGTGCATTCCCAGATATCGTCCACCATGCTAGGCTTGGGGAATCCTGGCGAGTTATTCTCTGAACCCCCTCTGTATGTAGCCTTGCTTCACATCATTTAATCTTTGGAAGTTTCTGAAACTCAGCGTGTTAACAAGCGACATAGTCACCGCAGCCACGGCAGGCAAAGTAGCCTCAGCTAAGCATGTGCTGTGTTCCCTGCCAATCTTGCCATCTAAAAGCAGGCCATCGACCAGGGCTTAACCAAAGAAAGCAAGACTTTCATTGAAGAGGATTATTTTGATATATTTTGATATGGGATGATATGGGTCAATTTTGCAAACCCTGTGGGCTCACGGACTTTGGCCACTTAGGTAGAAAACAATTCCATTTATAGTATAGGTATGTATAGGTACCCACTTGTGCCCGGTACCCAACTGTTTCATTGCAAATTACTGTATATACCTAGAGTGCTGCAGTGTCCTTTACTTGGTTATAGTTGTGCGGCTAAATGAGCGCTATTCAAGCTTCACCTAGTTGCTGACGAAAACTGATGGCACTCAGCAACACCCGAAACGTCGGAAGACCCAAAGCTACTGGCTGCAACTGGCACAATAATGAACCACGTCAATAGCAGGTACATGATGAAACTCACAAACGTATATCAAGCTGGCAGCACAGGTCGGACATGATTTATGCACCTGACTGGCAGAATAAAAGACAAACATGTGAAATGTTGCCAAATTTTGCCAAATGTAAGTCAAGCGTTTGAAGATGTTTGAAGCCACATCGTATCACATCGTCAACGTATTCAAAAGTGCAGGTGAAGATGGTGAAGATGGTGAAGATGGTGAAGATGGTGAAGATGGTGAAGATGGTGAAGATGGTGAAGATGGTGAAGATGGTGAAGATGGTGAAGATGGTGAAGATGGTGAAGATGGTGAAGATGGTGAAGATGGTGAAGATGGTGAAGGGGAATGAAGATTAATGAAAGGGATGTTGCACAATGTTGCACAATGTTGCACCCATGGATCTACATGGATGATCAGGCGAGCATATCCACAGGCACCATGGACGCAGCCAGAGTCTGCCACACACTGTTTTCCTTGAAAATCTTTGAAATCCCAACTCTTCTGCAGACTATTCCCAACTCATGTTGCTTATTGTTGCTTCCTAGAGACATTCGACTTGGATATCATCTTGGCCTGAAGCAAGGCAAGCACGGTGTTCAGAAAGATCCCCAAGGGTTGGTCCAGCGGTTCAAGGCTTCAAGGACAGTCAAGATCTCTTAGCTGCAATTGCACACTGCATTGGGTGCAGTTTCACGAAAATCAGAACCACAGAGCACAATAACTGCAAGTATGAACATGATTGAACCGCTTGGCCGCTTGAACATATTTGAATTAGTATTCTAAACTCTGAACTCATCTGCCCATGCCCATATGCGTCTGGGGGGCCGCATTCAGAGCAAGAACGAAAATCGTCTGAGTCCTGCATGCCAAAGCCCAAGCTAGGAATCCAAAATACTCCGAAACAGTTGCAACTCCAACAAAAACACAACGTGCAGTGTTCATCAAATGTCCCGATGTGTCCATCCAAAACATCTAACCTTGGCTTGCAGGGCCACGAGCATCGGGACTCTTGATTAGAAAAAAAGAAAAGCGGCTTGTCTGCAACTCTGCAACATTCTGCAACATTCTGCAACATTCTGCAACATTCTGCAACATTCTGCAACCAAATAACCTGTTCTGGCTTAATAAGCTGCATCAAGTGCTTTCGTGGGCAATAGGGTTCATAGCTCAGAATGGAGCCTGGCACCAAGTGCAAACTGACAAATTTCAATAGCACGTGTATTGCACTCTTGATGGTCATGGACCCGATTACACAAAATGAAGCAGTGGCGCGAGGAAAAAAACATGAAGACGGTGGAAGCAACTGAAGTCAATGGGTGCAGCGTTTGGGTGAATTTTGGCAACCCCTTCTTATGGTAACCCGTGAAGCTCTGATCTTTGGTTGAAACATGCATCAAATGACTTGTTGCAAACAAGAGTGGTCCAAATTCATGTTTTTGCGGGGTGTTCAAAATCATAAAGTTCCCCAGTGCCTGGCAATTCTGCGTTCTGTCTGCCACGGTTTGCTCCTCAGGCTGGAAGTCCGCTCTTGAGAACTACGATGGAGCCGCTGGACAAAAAGATACAAAAAGAGCGGAACAATATGGAACAAACCAGTTTACGAGCACACAGCTAGTCCACGACGTGACGTAGGCAAAGCGGCCATAAAAACGTCCGTACGAGGGAGCACATGTGCAAACAGCATGCACAATGCATGACATTCAAGATATACGTGCGCACTTGATACCGCAGCGAAGCAAGCATGCAAAGAACGAGGAACAACCTAAGACGATTTCTTCAGTTCAAACAAACGTACAAGTACTGTCCACCAATACCAAACAAACCCACCTTGCAAGCGCCAAACTTGTGAAAATATGATTTCAGCTTTAACATTTTTTGAGTTTTGACAATTGTTTTGACCGTCCTTGAAAAGGGACACATACTTGCATTGTTTAGAATCCACTTTGGGGTTCATTCATGTTCATTCTCTGCAAATGAAAAAAGGATCAAAAAGGAATCCTTGTGTATTTCAGGTAGTCAGCCTATGTCAGCCTCTTCTCGGAAATTCACTGTCCGTGTGCTGCGAAAGCAATTTAGTTTCAATCTGTTCCAAGGACGTCCGCGGTATGCGAGCACCAGAGTATTTTTTGGGGGGGCCTTATGTTTTGATTTAGTGTTTCTCAAACTGCCGAAGGTTCATCAATTCAATGTGTGTGTTGCTTTCCTAATGATTCTCTTTCTGTGGCAACTCGCTAGTAATTAATAGTAATTACACATCTCATGAATCTTGTTAAGCTGTCTTGCTCCCATCATCTCCCACCCGTCTGACTCTGTCCTGTCAGGCGCTCAACGCTTCGTGGCCGAACCACCAAAGAAACAACGCCACGCCTCAAGACACAAGGTCGGGCATATTCGACCGCAATATGTATACGATGTAGAGCGACATTATATAGATCATGCGATAGGTACGAGTACCTGCAACGCATGTGATATAAGTTGTATTCAGTATATATAAAATGAGTCGCCATTAATTATCTACTTCAGTCTGATTTTGATATACTGCTGCAATGACTGGTTTAATCCGGTTTACCATAATATGCCATCGCAGAGTGTTTCAGTGTGTTTTGCACTAAGGACTAAGCGAATCTTCGCCATATCCAATCCTTACTTTGCAAGCATGTGCAAGACATCTCTTTGAATGTGTCATCCATGCCATGAATATGCTCGTGAAAAAGTGTTGTTCACAGAAAAAGGGCGCTCCAAGCAAAGTGGCAAAAGCATACCACCATCATTGGGAACGGTCCTGAGCCATGTTTCTCAGCAGCATGTGCCAGCCACCAGCCACGTCTGTGCAAACATGTCGAAACCTTCTGCAAAGAACATATCAAAGAACCATCAGCTTAGTTCATTAGCTTCGCTATGCTTTGCTCATCTTTGCTCCCTTCCAGGCTTTCAGCCCATCTTGCAGCCATAAAACCCCATGTAGTTTCGCGCTGAAAAAACTCGAAGCAAATATCCTCAGCTATGGATTCTGTCTCACTCAAGCACCCACTGATACCCACGGCAGTTCTTTTTGCGAAGACCTTCGTCTTGCTGGGTTTCGTGCGCCCTGTCACTTGCTTGTCAAGACATGGGATCGGAACAGTGTGACAAGTGTCAGCACCTTTTCTCCCTTTTCTCATTCTCTCTCATGCCATAATATGATCTTGAAGCCAAGTTGCCATCGTGCATGAGCTCATACCCCTTGCACGTATTGGTGAACTGATGTGATCCTCACAGCTGAAATCTCTGGCAGTTGAACCATATTGAATTTGTCCAAGATGTTCAAATCAGATGTTCCGTTCCAGGTTCCAAGTGCTTTTAGACAAATGGGGCAACCCCTGTAAGCCAAGTGTCGAATTATGAGCTCAAGACCTTGTGTCTTGCAGAACCGCTGTGTCACATCACCTGCATTTTGCTCGGCTGTTGGATTGCTCACACGCAACGCACAAAGGCGGAGGTCGTCCCAGTGCTAAATCATGATAAATCAAAAGGACATGGCAGTTTGACGACCAAAGTTCTTCATCACTTGCCAGTGCTTGTCACGAGGACCTGACGAGGATCGAATGGATCGAATTGGTGTCAAACATGGACAAGTCGTGACAAGTCATGGGATCTAAACGCTTCAAGTTGAAACTCTGCAAAAGACTAAGAATGCCACTATCATGCACCTGCAAAATTGCTGGATGGTAAAGTTCAAATGACTTCAGGCACACAAGAAAAAAACTATTCCGAAATATTCCGAAGATATATTGCCAGCACACAATTGAGGTTTGCACACCAAAGCTTTTCAAAGGATCTCTGCGATTCTCTGGCCTCAGTTGACTGTCATCAAACTTGTTCTAAGTTCATAGGTAAGCTCACCAGCAGAGTCCAGCAGAGTCCAGCAGAGTCCAGCAGAGTCCAGCAGAGTCCAGCAGAGTCCAGCAGATCCAGCAGTCACTAGCATAGATGGGACTGCCAAGGAACCTGTGCATCAACGGATCTGACCAGAGTATGTTGTAGACCTGAGCAGCTAATCCAATCTCATAGCAATCGCATGTAAACAAAAAGGACATAAAAGGACTACAAACATCTACAAACCATTTCTACTTTGCACACTTCAACTTCCAAACCAAAGTGCTCAGAGCAACAGCCTAGGCTGCCCACCACTCCTTCAAGAGTATAGTGCAACTCTTTTGACACCAACGGCCGCTCAACCTGCAAGAGGTCTTCCAATGACCAGTCCTCGGCTTCGTGACTTCACGACGTGCATTGGAGTCGAAGCAATCTCATCAATCTCTATATAAAAAATCGGACATGTTTGCGAAACTGTGTCGACAAAAGCGGCGCACAACCATGACAACAAAAAACAGAGAAAAACGATCGGCAAACTGCAACATGTCTGACAAATGAACCAGTGTCACTCTTCCAATTCAGGTTGACTATGTTGATTTATTTATTATGATCTTTTATGATATAACATGCGCATGTAGATAGAGTACGAATCATTGCCGATATCCTACCTGAAACCTGTATGATCTGTATGGTCTTGTGGCTTTGAAATGATTTACATGTGGTCTTTGTTGTGTTCACCAATGTTCACCATGTGTTTATAAGCAGTGTGAACTTCCGTGCCAGGCAGCCCCAGGCCCAAGGCCGCCATGCAGCACCAAGACCTTCTGCTCAATGCGAGCAGCCAGAGGAAGCCTGGTGACAAAATGAGACAAGGTGCAACACAAGGGGCACAAAAAATATGTTCGTTGATTTTTCTGAAGAGTTTAAGTATATGAGTGTATCATAGTGATCACAGTGTATCGATGCATATCATGTTTTATTAAAGTTTGATTTACAGTAAGTGAGCAGAGTGAAAGCACACTGTGGAGAGCACAAGGTAAAGCATTCGAACACAGCAAATTTGATCAAATTCGCGCTTTGCCAAAGTTGCCAAGGCGCCACTCAAAGAAAGATTGAAAGCTTTCAAAAATCCTTCGACCCTCTTCAGCACCGAGAGCATCAGTGCCTCGACGTGGCAGGTTGCTATAGTAAACGGCGTTGATTCTGCTCGATGAGTCAAGCAGTGCAAACTCAGTGCAACCAATGTGTATACGTATAAAGGATATATCTAAATGTTTGTGAATGCAAAAAGCACCAACTCAGCATTGGAACTCAACAGCAGTGGGTCACGTGTTATTGACATTTATTTGAAATACATAGTACTCATCAAATACATTCAAATACTATTTGCAATGCCCATTTTCATGCTTCTGCTTTGCTGATTTCGCACATTGTGTTTGAATCTATACATTTGCACTTTTGAGGTTCAACTAATTCTGTTAAAGTTAAGATCTGTTAAGTATTAAGGTCCATTTATGATGTTTGTTGCCCTTTTCGGGAAGGGATGCACCTAGGCCGGGAGATCCAACCCCAAGAGCTTTCCTTTTGTTGCCACTGTGACTTTGGCAAAGAAGAGAGAGAGAGAGAGAGACATGCAGATCTCAGATAATCTGAAGATAGGAGTACATCAAGGAGAGAAATTGCAAAACTTCTAAGTGCACGGCAAGCCCTATCAAAGCCCAGGCTACCTGCAAGCTCGATTAGACCCGGCTGGATCCAAGGGGCAACATCTACCATCATCTCCCAATCGACCGGTTGTGCGGGCACATCTTTGGTACATGATGGTACATGGATGGAGATGGATGGTTAGTATACATAGTATACATCTCTAATAATCTCTAATAATTCTCTAATCATCTCTAATTATCAAACTGGGCCAAGAACCACTGGTTGTGTCAGCTGCAAGTCGTCTTGTAAGAGAAGAACACCTCTTCTAGCTGCTACGAGTATCTTCTTATATCTTCTTGCACTGCTGGTGCAACTAACCAACCTTGCAAACAGACTCGCCGCAAGGATGGTATCACATGGTATCACCTTAAATGTCGTCCCTTTTGACGTGCATCCCAAACACGGCGAGCACGGAAATCCGCACCAGCGCAAGTGCATATGACGACGACTGCTCGAAATGAAGTGTAATCTAGCATCGGTGGTCATGTCACATGTCATGTCACCAGCGCAAACATGACTTCCAAAAAGACAGCGAATTCCAGGAATGCTAGTGTTTTAGGATGCATTGATGCAATTTCTGAAGGGCACCATGGACAATTTATGACAATTTCAACACTCAGCAAACCACCAGCCCAGCAACTGCCAGCAACCCATCAAGCCGATATCAAGCCTATCTTCGTGGTTCGAAGGTTTTGCTGTCGATCTTCGTGATTGCCCCTGTTGAGCCACACTTGCTTTGGGTGCATGATCCTTAGCTTCACATGCTTCACCCAGCCAAAAGCAAGTGGTGATAAGATGTGATGAGTGGTGAAAGCGGCAGCGGATAGCTGAGGCTAGCAGAGGCAGCACAGGAACATTTTGACAGATTTGACATCAATTTGACATCCATTGACAATGCTTTTCCGAAGCTTCTTGCAAACTGCTCCCTTGCATCTTGGCAAGATTCTTCAAGGACAGAATCAAAAGCATGACCTCAAGCTGATGGCGGCCTCTATCCACCCAATCACCGTTGAACCTGACATGCAGTTGAGCTGAGGTATTGGATGCATCTTGATGCACAAACCCTCAGGCAACGTTTGGTGAACAGGTTCGCAGCCAAGGGGCACGTATGACATCGGCTCATCGTCACCGTCCTGCACTGTGCATTCTGTTTACAATGACAAAGGATGCAAGATGATACAAATGGATACAAATGGACTCTCGCTTGCTAAAACTCTTCGTCAACTTTGTCCACTTCGTCCTCATCCTCATCATCATCAGGCCTCCCAGGGAATCAATTTGCCCGTATTTTTTCTGTCGCAGTCGCAAATGAAAAAGTTGCTCTTGGCAAACAAAAACACACCAAACATACCGAACCAAAGCCAATTTTAAACCTCCCAACTCAAAAACACGACAGTTGTCCTTCAATGGTCCTAATTACATCATGTGGAGCATGACTTCATTTGGTTCAGCTTGGCAGTCGGCCTGCCGTAGAAATGAAAGAGCAGCAGAAGGTCTCGGAGCTGTCCGTGAATGTCTCCTGTTGTTGCCCACATGTAGGACAAATCAAGATGAAAAAATGCTTGAATTGTATAAGCCTGGACGAACAAGCCTGGAAGTACAAGGAAAGGGAATCTCAAGTCTATAATGATCTCCCTCTACCTGTTACCTCTTGGTCACCACCAAAAGGGAAGGGCAAAGCCCCCTGAGCTTTGCAACTCAAATGTGCGCACGGCAGGGATGTGGCAATCCAATTCAGTCGAGCTTCCAAAGACCTTCACTGGTGCAGTCACCTCTGAGACAATCGGCCTCAGCCAGTTTTGTTCCTTTCGACCCTTTCGGATGCTTTCGGATCCTCTTGGACGTTGTGCGTGTTCAATTCGTAAGCGCGAGCATGCGCGAGCCCATGCACATGTCAAGCGAGAATTTAGTATATAAATGGAGGAATGCTATGGAATCGGCGAGGAGTAAAACTATACTATAGAATGGAAGCAAAGTCAGGATATATGTGAAACAACTTTAGGAGAACATATTTTGAACATGTAAGGCTGAGGATACCTGTAACATGAAGAACATATAATAACATGTCCCTCCTCATTGTCAGTGCAAAAAAATCAAATATTTTCGTTGCCGGAGGGGGCGCTGCCAAACTGCCAAACCATGTCTTCAGTCCCTTCAAGCGATTCACACCCTCATTAGCACTTCTGGGACATGCTTGAAAGATTTTGAAAACAATGGAATAAAACTGGGCTGTGTCAATTCAGCCAAGCGGCTGAGATTTCTGCAGCTCAATGGCTGCTCTGATCAAAGTGTCTATCTGCGTGGATCACAAAATACCCAAGATCCAACAACACATGACATGAGGAAAAGAAAGGAAGCAAACGCGGTCTTAGACAGCCAAACTAGATCAAACTAGTATATGAGTATATGTATGTATACGTGAACTAGCTACGTTATCTTACGACTAGTGGCATATAATATCATGTAATTCACATCCTTCTCGGATGTGAGAAGCCTATTATCCGTATCATGCAAATTTTCCTGCCATCCCCTGCCTTGTTGGCATACAAAGCCTCAGTAAACACAATCAGCCATGACGCCCTCCCAAACGCCCACACAGACTCTTTTATGCGCCATTTTGGCATATGCCGTTGATACATACTACTGATGTTTTTTTTATCCAAGGATGTCCAAGGTGCAATTGTGGCAGCAGTATAACCGCGTGGGGCGTCCTCCCCTTCTAGAAGCCAGGCCAACCTTAAGACAGCACAGGCAGCCGTCTCTTCCCTCGTCTGATATGAATGAAAATTCATTTGCTCGAGTCGCAGGCAAGCTCGGTTCAGAATCCAAACCTCACTGCGATAGGCATCGCTGGGCAATGCACACTGTGCTCGGACGGAGACACAAAGAGAAGGAAACAACGGAAAAGACTCAGTTCACGGCAAGTTGATGAGTTGAGGTCTTTAAATCGCGACCTTGCATATGTCGATGACATGCGAAACATCATGGGATTAGAGAGTGGGCAAACTCACAATCGCTCGTGTCAGTTTGGCAGTTAGGCATATAAGTCTCAATAGATATCATACAAATCCATATCATAAATGATGGAAATAGGGCCTGTTGCTACATGGGGTATTATAAAAGCCCAGAGCCCTTTAAAATTGTTTTTTCACACGTTATCGTTTTTTTTTCCCTCTTATCGTTTTTCCAAGCGCTGGCTTCACACCTTGACCAAAGGATTCACATGAGCGAGGAAAGGGAAAAGGAAAAGGAAGAGTAAAGGAAGGGAAAAGAAAGAACAGGAAAGGGACAGGAAAGGGACAGGAAAGGGAGAGGAAAGGGAGAGGAAAGGGAGAGGAAAGGGAAAAACAGGGCCGTGTCTCACACAGACCGTTTTTGATGCCAAAAGTTATCGGTTTCGTTTTCGTTTTGTTATCGTTCGTGAATCCTGTGCACGTTCCTTTTTCCTGGAAATGGCTGCAATCATCAAAAAAGGACTGTAGCGACCACCTACGCATTCGTTGGCGCGCCATTACGACAACAAACAATGAAATGAAGAAACCAAAAGCACTAAATAGCTGCAAAACAACGGACAAATAAAAACATTGGATTTCAAAAGTCTGGACACAGATCATTAACAAAACTAACGTTCAATGTTATCGTTTTTTTTCCTCTTATCGTTTTTTTTCCCGAGTGAAAGCTAAAAATGGCTCATGGGGGATCATGGAAGACTAAACGAATAGGCGCGGGGGTTTTACAAACTCCCACATTTCTTACGCCAAAAAAGGTTCCGCGCTTTGCGTTTCCCAACTCCAGTTTCTTCCTTGCTATTTGGTCCCTCTGGATGAAGCTCAAAAATGAGTCCCTTTATATATCCTCTTGTAGGCCCTCAAACAATATAAAAAAAGAAATCAATGTCAATGTTGTCAAGGATACTTCTTTACAACTGTTCCTGGAGCGTGCTGCCAAATCATAAATGTACAAGAGCGAGACCTACTGCAGTCTTGTCCGCAAAAAAACAAGGAATATCGTGTTGCACAGCGGCGCTGTAAAAGCGCGTAAAAGCGTCGTCCAGGAACGCTCTGGAACCTCTGAAAGAGTGTGAGCCGAGTCTTCTAGACGAGGGCTTGAACAGAGCAGTACAAGACTGTCTGAGTTACAAACATGACCTCCAAGAGAGATGCAACAACAACATGTTCTACATGGAATTAGCGTGCTTCGCGCTGTCCTAAGTCAGCTGGCAGTGCCTTTTTTTTTGAAACTGCTAGGCCGGAGAAGACACTCAAACCTCTCTAGCGCAGATGGAGTAAATAGATGTATGCAGTGTAGGTATGTGAACAGGTATGTGCAGGTTGAATCTCCAACAATCTCAGAGCAAAGATGAGCAAAGTCACTGAGATTCGCGCAAAGACGGATGTATTGCAAAAACCTGTTCTTCAGCGGGAGGACCTTCAGCCTGCCCATCTCGCGATGTATGATACGTACGAAGCATTACGAAGCTATATTCATCTTTTTCATTCTTTTTATTGGGCTTCTTGTGTCAAATCAACTGATCATTGGCAAAGCGTCTGTCTTGTGGTGGTTCGTCCTCTCCTGTCTCATGGTACATGCATGTACCATATTACGCTGCACGTACCGTGTACCTCTTTTCGAAGCGCTTCCGCCCACTCTCTGAGACTGCCACCTCCGCTACAAGCACAAAATAAAACAAAGCAGAACAGCAAGTGGTGCACATGTGGGAGCTATATGTTTTTCCTCCTATTGAGTCATATGTAGTGACAATTAGTGACACAATAGTGACACAATAGTGACACATAGTGACACATAGTGACACATAGTGACACGATGTCACATCCTTTTTGAAGTGGCCTTCTGGGCACGTCAGAATGACTTGCGAGTCACAGGTTTGAATTCTCAGGTCCTGGGCTCCAAGTGGTTCCATCATGTTCCATCCCCTCAAAGCCAACACCACGCCATTGCATTACTACAAAGTCAATGATAGAGCCGCATGAAGGCATCAAAAAGCTACCAAATACTTGGACACGGGCGCGTGAAGTCTTAGTAAAAATATGTAAAGATAGTGTAGTATAGTCCCAGGATTCGTTTGGCCTTCTTAATGGTTTTCAGTGCCACAAAAAAAGGTCCTCCTCCAGTGAGATACTGGTTGTGCTGCCAATCCGAAGGGCGCCAAGCACTTCGGATCCCTTGGAGTCGTCCTGGCAGAGCGCAAACTCCCGCCAGCGCGCCATCACATACATCGGGACATACATCTGGACATACATGTGAAGCAATATGTACTTAAAAAATCTTCAATATGTACTTAAAACAGATCAAACATATTGCTTCAATGTGCTTCACATGTTGAGGATGTATCCAAAAAAATGTCCAAAAGATTCCAAAAGAAAACCGAAGGCGTTGAATACACTGAATGTCTGACTTTGTTCAATCTGGAGCTTCAGTCCTTCTGCCACTGAAGCAAGCCTGTGCAACAATTGATCAGTATGTATGTCAGCAGCATGTTTCTTCTTGAACAACCGTGAGCATCCGTGAGCAGGCTTACGAACATCAACGCTGGAGGCCCTAGCAAAGCAACCTGATGCAATATGAAGATGCATCCGCATCTCTCCATGCCTTGTGAAAGAACGAAGAAGCGCCTGTAATACAGTGCATACAGTAGTAGGCATGAAGAGCATGAAAAGGAGAGGCATCAATTCCAGGCCACAGGCCACAGAATGCAAAACAAAGCTCTGCACCTCTGCGCTTGCGACAGGATCATTCCATGCCGGGGCTGTCTGGTAAGAAAGCCACTCCTAAGAAGGGATTCAATTGGGCAAAATCAATGATCAAAAAACATTCAAACCTTTCAAACATGATGGATCCAGCTGTAGCTTCTCCGGATTTCTCTAGCGACTATTCTCATCTTGTTTTGATGCTGCCACCGCGAGACTGAATGAGCATAGATTGGTTCACTGTGGTTCACTTGTTGACTCCCTCAATGAGCTTCGAAATACTTTGCTTGGTGAAGCCTACTGCGCAGCATCGTCCATACCATCTTCAACATCTGAGGATGTGTCTTGCTGGGCTGAGTGGAGCTCAGTGGGCCTTGGTTGTCCGATGTAGTTTTTTAGTGCCTGTCTGACTCAACTGCAGGACCAATCTAGGCCTGCCATTCTTTGATGCAATCCACTGCCTTGCCACCATCCTGCTCTTGAAGGTCTCTTTTGCATTCTCTTGCCAGCTGGCATCTGCGGCCGACTGTGGCCCTCACGTTTGGGCACCCACTCATGGTCTAGGCAATCAAAACCAGCAGCCACTTCTGCAGCCACAACATCTACGAGCTGCATGCATCTCTTCACGACCTTCGCAAGCAGAAAGCAAGGTCGAAAGTGAGGCTGAGATCGAGGCTGAACGACTGAAAGAGCGACTCTGAGTGAGAGTAGGATAAAGATGATAAAGTATAGTTGAACGTCATATGATCTTGTTCCCCAGCATCTCTCTTCTTTCTTGAGTCTTGCTTGTGCACACTGCCATGCAGTTTCAAGTCAAGGAATGGGGTAGACTCTGGGTAGACTATTGCAGTGTATGTATTGGATTGTATTATTGGTACATATGTATACATATGTACCGTTGCGGAATAACGAGGGGAATCAAGTCCGTGCATCGCTGGCATGTTGGGGTCTCAAGACTAAGCTCACAGCTGCCTGGGCCAGGGCCTCAAGACTAAGCGAACCACATTTTTACAACACATTTTCAGTTTTGCAGAAAAAACAACAGTTTGTCCCAGAGTTTGTCCCAGGTCCCAGCTACTCTGGAGTGACAGCACTTCTCACAAGTTGTTGCAAACAAAAAGGCCACCATATCTGAAAGAGACAAGCTGCGATTGTCGGATTGGAAGAGGGTTGAACATCTCCTTGGCACGACCACTTTTTCACAGTATCCAGTCTGATCAGCTTGAAGCTACATGCTCTGTCTGCATACAGGATCCTTATATTATGGATCCTTATAGTTGCGATACTGTTGCGCTTCCAAACTTGCCTGTACAATTTCCTTTCCCGTATCGTGAGCATTTATACGCTTGTCTCCCCCTCTCTCTCTCTCTCTCCATCGCCTTCTCGAAGAGTTCAGCTAAGCTAAGGGTGAGTGAAAAAACAACCGCTCCACCAGGGAAGACAGGAGTGTCAGCAGCCAAGGGTCACGTACGAATACTACGCACACTCGCATGCACACATATCACATCATATCACATCATATCACACATATCGCACATATCGCACATTCTGCACGCGCGTCTGCTTGTGCGCAGTTTGAGATTCAAACTGAATGCTGCGACTGACTCCAGCGTCTGGCCACTGCTCGGTTGATTCCGTTCTAGTCGCCTGCACTTATTCCAAGACAAAATGACTTACCTATACTTACCTCATCAACGGAAGATTTGAAGAGAAAGTGACCCGTAGCCAAGTGCAAACGAAGCACATCTACTTACCGGCTACAAGTGCATTGAACCGGTGCCTAAACAGCGTACCAAAGCCAAAGCATTGGAGTAATATGGAATAAATGTCATGTGATCTCTTTGTCTCTCTCATCTCTCTCCATCGCCATCTCCAGCTACATGGGTTTGCATGCGCTTCAGCGGTGCCACAGTGGAATGACGTCAAGTTTCTGCATTCTTCTGCATCCTAAATTTGGGAGTGCCGATGAGCAAATTCTTTTGGCCGCGTTTCGGTCTTGTTTTGCCCTCTTGTGACAATCCACAGTTGCGAAATGCCGTGCAGAGGTATTATATAGCTGCCACTGCTTGCCTAGATAGGGTCATCGGTGCTTTGTATCAGGGTTACATAATCGTTTTTTTTGTCCGCGCCTTCTCAATTTTGAAGGCAATGAACATGGTTATTTTTTGGAACCAGCAAATAACATGCATTGAGTGTTCCGAAAATCGATTCCAAGGCGACCAACTGTATTGCTACCAAGCTGCGCTTATCAGGCCTTTCCGATGGGGTGGGCAAGTGATAAGTATCGACGTTCATCGTGGCGTCACTAAAGACCTCAGTCTCTGATGCAGGACCAAATCTTCTGAGATTGCTTCTGATGATGGACGGGTATTGCTTCTGGTTTAAGCCTGCACGCATCACTGCATCACTACGATACCATCGTGTTCCCTCTCCCTGCTGCTGTTGTTTGATGCCCTTTCATTTTGCCAGTGTGCTCAGAACCGTTCAACAAATCAGCCACATTCTGCTCCGTTTGCTTTTGGTTGCTTCTGTGTGGGCATATGTATGTTGGTATGGTATGGTATGGTATGGTATGGTATGTAACGTATGTAACGTATGTAACGTATGTAACGTATGTAACGTATGTAACGTATGTAACGTATGTAACGTATGTAACGTATGTAACGTATGTAACGTATGTAACGTATGTAACGTATGTAACGTATGTAACGTATGTTACGTATGTTACGTATGTTACGTATGTAACGTATGTAACGTATGTAACGTAGGAAGCGTATGTAGCGTATGTAACGTATGTAACGTATGTAACGTATGTAACGTATGTAACGTATGTAACGTAGGAAACGTATGTAACGTATGTAACGTATGTACCGTATGTAACGTATGTAACGTATGTAACGTATGTAACGTAGGAAACGTATGTAGCGGATGTAGCGCATGTAATGTATGTAATGTAATGTAATGCAAATGTAAATGCAGATGTAAATGTAAATGCAAATGTAAATGTAAATGTAATGTAATGATATGTAATGATATGTAATGTAGGTTGGCACGTATGGTACGTGTGGTATGTATGGTGTGTATGGTATGTATGGTATGTATGATATGTATGGTATGTATGGTATGTATGGTATGTACGGTATGTGTGTTATGTATGTTATGTATGTTATATTATGTTATGTATGTTATGTATGTTATGTAATGTCAAGTGAGGATTAATAAACCCCTCCCGATTAATCAACCACCACTGCCCCCCCCCAAAAAAAGTAATTTAAAAACAGGTGGTCCCCCCAGATTCATAAATCCCCCCGATTAAAAAACCACCAGTGCTGAAATCCATTGTTTATCCAACAATTTTTATTTCCAATTCTATTTATTTCCAATTTGTTTTTACCTTTTTTATCATCATTGTTATACTTAAGGTTTAAGTTGATCATTGAAAATTTCAAAAAACGACTATTCCCCAAATGATCGATTTCTAATTAAAATCTTTATAAAAATCATCTGTTTGGATAGCTCCCAAAGGGTACCCCCCATGAGCCCATGTCCCCCATTAATAATAACCAGGGTTTGCCCCTGATTCATCAACCACCTTTCTGATCCATGAGATTTTAACAAATCCAATAGAATTCTATTAAGATCTAGTTGGCGTAAGCCATATCCAATTTTTTATGGTTCAGAGTTGCTTATTATTTAAGGGGGGGTCAAGAAACTAACCAGAAGGGGTACCCCCCTACCTTCTGGGGGGGGTTATTAATCCGGTGTTGGCATTATGTTCTATGTATGTTATATGTATGCTATGTGTATGTCATGTATGTTCGGTTGTGTTCTGTTATGTATTTATGAGTATGTATGTATGTATGTATGTATGTATGTGTCTATGTGTATGCTTATATGTAAATGTATATGTATATTCATTTGTATATGTATGTGTATGTGTATATGTCTGTACGTATGTATGTCTGTCCGTATGTATGAATATATGCATAGATGCGTATGTATGTATATGTATGTACGTATGTAATGTAATGTAATGTAATGTAAAATAATGTAATGTAATGTAATGTATGTATGTATGTATGTGTGTGTGCGTGTGTATGTATGTGTGTATGTGTGTATGTGTGTGTATGTATGTATGCATGCATGCATGCATGGATGTGTATGTATGTATGCATGTATATATATATATGTATGTATGCGTGTGTATGTATGTACGTATGCATGCATGCATGCACTCATGCATGTATGTGTATATAATATATATATATATGTGTGTGTATGTATGTATGTATGTATGTATGTATGCATGTATGTATGTATGCATGTATGCATGTATGCATGTATGCATGTATGCATGTATGCATGTATGGATGTATGTATGTATGTATGTGTGTATGTCTTTTATGTATATTATGTATATTATGTCTATTATTTATATTATGTATATTATGTATATTATGTATTTCATGTATGTGTATGTGTATGTGTATGTGTATGTGTATGTGTATGTGTATGTGTGTGTATGTTTATGTATGTATGTATGTATGTATGTATGTATGTATGTATGTATGTATGCATGTATATATGCATGCAGGCATGCAGGCATGTATGTGTATATAATTTATACATATATATATATATGTGTGTGTGTGTGTGTATGTATGTACGTACGTACGTATGTATGTATGTACGTATGTATGTAGGTATGTATGTATAGGTGTAGGGGATTGCGTCAAACTTCGGGTATGGATCGGCCCGCGGTGATCCGGACGTGTGGATCGGTCTGGATCACCTTCGTTTCGGTATGGATCGGGGGTATGGATCGGCCTGTGGGTTCAGGGTATGGATCGGGCTGTACATTTTGACTCGCAGCTATATATCCGCCGACCCCGGCCGACGCAAGGGGGAGCGCGTAAGGGAAGAAGATGGAAATTAGGTGGTGTTTTGCTGTTTCGGAAGCGTTTCGAAACAGTAGGCCCAGCCATAATATTGTTTAGGCGATTCTGGGGGATTCGGCCGAAACAGCTGGCCCAGCTACCGGAGATTCTGGGGGATTCGGCTGAAACAGTTGGCCCAGCTAGGATTCTCGAAGTAGGATCTAAACTAGGATCTAGATCTAGATCTAGGATTCTCTAGGATTTCAGAAGGGACGTTAGGCAGGTTTCTGTAATATTGTTTAGGCGATTCTAGGGATTCGGCCGAAACAGCTGGCCTAGCTACCGGAGATTCTGAGGGATTCGGCTGAAACGGCTGGCCCAGCTAGGATTCTCGAACTAGGATCTAAACTAGGATCTGGATCTAGATCTAGGATCTGGATCTAGATCTAGGATTCTCTAGGATTTCAGAAGGGACGTTAGGTAGTTTTCTGCCGCGATTTTTCGTTATTTTCGGCACGAAATTAGGTGGTGTTTTGCTGTTTCGGAACCGCTTCGAAACAGCAGGCCTAGCTGTAATATTGTTTAGGAGATTCTGGGGGATTCGGCCGAAGCAGCTGGCCTAGCAAGGATTCCCGAAGCCGCGATTTTTCGCTATTTTCGGCACGAAATTAGGTGGTGTTTTGCTGTTTCGGAACCGCTTCGAAACAGCAGGCCTAGCTGTAATATTGTTTAGGAGAT